GGAATTTTCCCGCAGGCCACTTGTCTCCAATCCCAGAGGGTGTGTCACCAGTAGAGGAAAGCAGCCCTTTGCTTTTCCTTACTGGTGTCTCACTCCTGCCCCTGCCAGCTGGTCTGTGCTGTGCTCCCCTTCCAGGCTCCCGTCCCCTCCCTCATGGCTTCTGGCTTACTTTGGGCCTCAGAGAAAACAGCAGAGATTGCTCTTGAGGGAGAACAGGGCGGGATAGTGTGGAGAGAAGGGGAGTTATCAGGTGGCAGACACAACACCTACTGGGGCACAGACCCATGAGGGCCCCGGCTTGATTATGTGTTCCCCCGCACCTCCCCAGGTGTTCCTGCATGAAGCCACCGTGCGCCTGATGGCAGGGGCCAGCCCCACCCGCACCCACCAGCTATTGGAGCACAGCCTGCGCCGGCGCACTGCCCAGAACGCCAAGCATGGTGAGTCCCACCGTGCTGCAGCCTACGATGTGGACCTTGCCAGGGCAGGGGAAGGGCTGGGGGAGCCAGCATCTGCAGCGTTCTCAGAAGTGGCTTGAGAATAAAAGAAGCCCAAGGCTTGATTAGGTGGGTTGCTGGGGTGGAGTCCTGAGGCGCTGTGGGGCAGGAGCTGGCGCAGAATCATGAGTTCCAGAGCCAGATGGCTGGGCTACATCTCAGCCCCACCACAGGGTAACAGCCTGTGACACCAGCCAGGTTCCTCTCGTCCTGCCCGTGAATGAGGCAGGGCTCTGGAACCCCCTCACTGGGCGAGTGTGAGGGTTCCTGAGCCCACATCCAGCCCTGGGAGCGGTATCTGTATCACAGCAGGTTCTCAGAGAGTGGTTACATGCGTCTCATGCCCACAGGAGAGGCGGACACCTGGCCTGGCCAGCGAGAGCGGGCCACTGCCATCCTGCTGGCCTGCCGCCACCTGCCCCTCTCCTTCCTCTCCTCCCCGGGGCAGCGGGCAGTGCTGCTGGCCGAGGCTGCCCGCACCCTGGAGAAGGTGGGCGACCGGCGCTCCTGCAACGACTGCCAGCAGATGATTGTCAAGCTGGGGGGCGGCACTGCCATCGCCACCTCCTGACTCCCAGGCTTTGCCTGTTTGGGTCCACCACCTCCCCCTGTCTCTTCTCCCAGCCTCTCCCTCCTCCCTGCCTGTCTCTCAGCCTCTGTCCCTCCTCCCTGTCTCTCAGTTTCCCCCTCCTCCCTCTGGGAGCTGTGGGATGAACCTGAGCTATTTTGGGACCACCTCAGGCCATTGGTTCCCTGGGCAGAACCCCTTGAAGCTGCTGTGGATCGATGCCCATGGTCCAGGGCCCAGTGGGCCCAAGAGAGTAAGGGCTGGGCAGGCAAAATTTGGGGGGTCCCTCTGACTTGAAAGTAGCAGGGGGAGCTCCCAAGCTGCTCAGCCCCTGCCCCCAGCCCTCCCAAGATTCTCTTTCCTCTGAATGCCTCTCCTCCCTTCCCTGCTTTCCTGTTTTTTTTATCAAGCTTTCCCTCTGGGGGTCATAGGTCTCTGGGCACCAGAGTGCTTCACCCTTGTCACTGTGCCCAGCAGGCCCCCTCCCCCCTTTTATATGAATGTTTTTATATCAGTATGCTTGGGTTTGCCATGATGCAGGGCCAAGTGGCTGTGGCATCTTTATTTCTCTCCCTGGGTCTGTGTTCCCTCCCCTGTGCCTGACAAAGCCAGTTTTTTTGTTTTCTCTTTATTACACAGGACAGCCAGGGAAGGAGGGGTGCCCAGCCCTGGGGAGGCAGGGGGAGTTAGGGGGCAGGCCTGGAGGTGGATGAAATAATGTTGGCATTATTTTTGAATTTTTTAAAAAATAAATGATACCTTATTTAATTGTCCTTTCCTTCCCACTCCCCCAACCCACTGGGAAGTCAGCCTAAGCTCAGGGTAAGCCCAGGGAGCTGGGAGAGATGAAGTTACCCACTGGGGCCAGGGACCAGGGTCCTTCAGCAGGGGCTCTCAGTTCCCTCCACCCCAACTCCTACCTCCATAGTCTATTTTTATCCCTAATTCTTGACCTGAAAATAAGCTCGGGTGGCAGGGAATAGCCCCCAACCCCTTTCCAGGGTAGGCACAGTGTTGCTCAGGGTGGGCACTAGGAATGAGGCTTCCTTCCCTGATGAGTGTCTGGGAGAAAAAGCGGTCCCACTTTTCTGGTTCCCCTGCGACCATTTCTCCCAGTCTTCCAGAGCCTGAGGACTGCCTGCGACCCCAGAGCCCGCTGGGAGGCTAAGAGGGGTCTCCCTCCTCCCCTCCTTGTGCTTTTCACCCCCTCAGGCTGGCTGGGGCAGAGAGTAGGCAGGGGCCCCAGCACAGATTGCAGGGGAAGGGGGTTGGGAATGCAACAGCAGCAGCTCCCCTGAAGCCAGGTGCAGGCTGGAATGGGTCAACTTGGACCTTACCCACTTTCTTTCTCCCTGCCCCCTGCAGTACTCACTGTAATTTATGGCCCCTGCCCACTGGCTGAGCCAGCCCTTGTGTCATGTGTATATACTGTGCCTTGTTATTGTTTAGGGGTGGGAGGGGGTGGTTTTTCACTGAAAAGGGGGCTTCCTTGATATGGAGTCATTCACCGTATGCTGTTCAATAAACAGTTTGGTACCGCTCAGCACGAGGTACGTGAGGGTCTGTCATGTGACCGCCGTGGTGACTAGCCAGGTGGCTGCGTGGCTTGGCCTCCAGTGGGCCAGGTACCGAGGACAGCCCCTCCCTCTCTGCTGAGAGGCCCCAGGGAGGCTTTGTTCCAAGACGGGCTACGTGGCACACACTCCAGGACTGGGACAAGGCCTGGGATAAGAGGGCGGTTGGCAGTGTTGAGAGAGGTTCAGGGTCACTGTATGCAGGACATAGAGCTGGCTGTTGGGCTGACAGCAGCAGTTCTTTGAGGTTTGGGGTGCTAAGTCCTTCTGTGTTCACCACTCAGAGAAATCTCTCCCTTACAAGGTTGGCTGTCCCTTAGATTGCCCATCCTCCCTAGAGGCAGTGAGACTCACTGCCTACAAGTCACATCCAAGTCCAGCTCCTGAACTTCCCAGCTGGGTCACCTTGGACAGGTCGTCGCCTCAGCCTCCATTTCCATGTGTGCACAGTGGGGATGACAGTCTCTGCCTTTGACTAGGTCCCCATAGGCCTCTTGGCCAGTTTGAATGACACCATAAGCATAAAGTGCCAATTTATGGTAAGTGCCTTGTGAGGCTCATGAGGAGCAAGACCACTAGGAGAAGCAGGCCTGAGAGCCTGCTGGCCTCACGGAGAGGTGGGGCCGGGTGTGACGAGGAAATGAGCGTGGGGCTGCTGCGTATGGTCCATGACCTGGCCCACTGAGAGATAGGTGAGGCCCTTTAGCTCCCAGAGCCTCTCCCTCCAAAGGGCAGTTACAGCAGGCCACACAGCACCCCCAGAGCGAGAGCAGCAAGGAGGGCCTGCTGCAGCTGGTCCCTGTGCAGTTGCTACAATGACATTTCCAGTGGTAGACATGCCCATGGCCTCAGCCTGGCCCTGGCCCCTTGGGATGGAGAGCCAGGGCCCTTGCGACTGAGAATGAGCAGAGGTGCCCACCTCCTGGCACAGCCCAGCCAAGGCCTGCGTCACTAGGTGGGTGGTCGTGGGTGGCCAGTGTGCCCAGGATCCCTGATCCTTTTGTGAGTCTCAGCAGGCTCCATGACTCAGCACCCACTCTCCTCCCCCAGCTCTACACAGCTGCAGGATGGGCCCCGGGGCCACCCCACCCCCACCCTTGTTTGAGGGTGTGAGGGCTGCCTCCCATATAAGCCATGGGGAGCCTCGCTGCACGCAGCACCATGGGCTCTGAGATATGGCCTGGGGTTACTGGACCTTGGTTTCCTCAAGTGCCACAAGGCAGCAAGGTGGACCCTTCTACAAATGAAGAATGGTGAAATTCGGGCCTCCAGGGCAGCCCTGCCAGCAGGAGAAAGGTCAGATGCCTGTACACTGGGAATAGGAATCCAGTCCTGCCAAAACACATGTTCATAACCTTCTCTCCTCCCCCAGACTGCCTGCTGCCTGCCATTTCACCATCAGATTCACAGTGTCAGCAGAATACATGAGTCCTACACTGGAGTCAGCTGGGTGACTGGCAAATTACTGAGGTCTCAAAACCTCAATCTCCTCATCTGTAAAGCCACATACCCATGGGGATTTTGTGAGGATTAAGTGAAAGAAACAGCAACAAATGGTTGCTATTGTTATTAAAACTGTATTATGTCTAGGGCAATTGGGAAGGAAACTGAGGCCCAACTAACTGGGTGGCTGTGTTGTGATTACACAATGAGGAGCACAACCCACCCCTCAATACCCCAGCAGTGCTTGGCACAGAGTAATACAATGCTTGCAGGCTACTAGCGATGCCCTGGGCCCCAGCCATATACCAGGAGCCTGCCCTGGAGTGCAGCTGGCAGTACCAAGCTTGTGGAGTACAGGTACCCCGATGGGGGCACTGCCAAGACTCCAGGCTCAGCATCCCATTCCCTTTTCCCCCAGAGCAGCTATTTGGAGGAGGCTCCCCCCTCCTAAGCACCAGCTGTCCTCTAGGCCCACTGCCCACATGCACTAGGGGGGTGGCTGAAGGCCAAACTAACCAAGTGGCCTGCAGGCCAGGGGCCGGCCCAGGGCCAGACCATGTCAGTGAGGATCAGCAAAGGTCCAGCTAACTCAAGCTGTACAGTGGGTGACTGGCCGGAGGGAACACCTCCATTTAGGAGCTAAGGTTCCTCCAGGGAGCCCCAGGCTCCCAAGAACCCTCTCCCCTGTGCCTGGTCCTCAGGACGGCTGGGGCTTAGCTGCTTCCTCCCCCATGGCTCCCATTGGTGTGGACATTAAGCCTGGCATTCAGCCCTGACCGCCCTTCCAGCCACTTGTCCCTGGCTCCCAGAACACTTGCCTGCCAGCCCTCAGGAGCAGTCCTCTGCTCTTGAATATGCTGCACCCTGTGTCCAGACTGCCGTCTGTCCAGTCAGTGACCAATGCCTCTGACATCACGCTTCTCAGAACAAAGCTGGGGCTCCTTTATTCTCCAGGGTGGGAGCCACAGAAAAGAATTTATTTACAGGAGGAACCTAGGACCCCAGCACAGAATCACCAGCTTTACCAGTGGACCCCATCTTATCCCTGCAGGCTCCAAGGCCCCAGTCCAGTTAGGAAAAGTTGAAGGGCGGGCCTTACGGTCAGCGCCCCTCCTGCCCGAGGCCTGGGTCCCAGGCCCTAACGATGGAAGCTCTCAGGCAGAGGAGGGCTCCCGCAGATGTGATGTTTCAGGAGAGCCGGCAGCCCCATCTTCACACGGTGACCTCGGCTTTGCTGTTAGTGCTCAGGTGGCGGGGTCCCCGCGCCGCGCTGCCATAAAGGCCTCGGGGCTGCGGGCTGAAGGCCTCGGACAGCTTCTCCACACTGAACTGGCTCCGGGTCGTGTGGCCGGGCCGCCGGGGCCCGGGGGAGGCCTGAGCCGCCAGGTGCCCGCGGGGGGCAGGCCGGGCCAGGCGGCCGGAGATCCAGGCCTTGTAGTGACCCGACGGGACGGGGCCGACGGGAGGCGCGTAGCCCGGCGGCGCCCAGGGGCAGGCGTCGAGCAGAGCAGGCAAGTCCTCATGGGCGCGCGCCGTCTGTGCAGGGAGCGTCAGCGGGCCGGGCTCGGTAGCTGGAAAACGCCTGTAGAAGTCCGGCGGGGAGGCCTCTGCCGGGGGACGGGGCGGGGCCTCAGCGCCGGCAGCACGGGGTGGGGAGGAGCGGAAACAGGCTGCGGGAGACGCGAGTTACCACCGCCCCCGCTCTGGGTGCGGCGGTGGGGTCCCAGCCAGGCGTGGAAGCTCGTTGCCTAAGGAGGCGGGCTACAGAAGCCGGCTGGATTGCGGGCCCTCAAGGCTGGGAACTTTGGAACCCCAGCTGGGGCTCCCCCCACTGCCTTGCAGTCTAGGAGCTTGGGTAGTGGGGGTGCAGTGGGCCCAGCGCTCTCCACACAAACCCGGCCACTCACCTGCTGCCTTGAGCGCCGCTGCCTTAAGGGTGGCGTACTTGGAGTAGTCGGGCTGCAATGTCATGCTGCTGCCGCCACCCTGCAGCTGGGGGCCGCGTGGGGGCCCCGGTGTCGCCGACCCCACGGCCACGTTGTTGGGGCGTTTCTTATCTGGAGCTGGGAGGGTAAGATGAGGCTCAGTCTGCTGACCAGAGGACACTGCCCCTGCACTACCACCTCTCCCCAGCTGCAGTTCATGAGAACTTGTGGGATGTCTATTTGGGCCAGACTGAGAGCAGAATCTGTCTTCATGGCAGTATCTCCGGTGTCTGGAACAGGGCCTGGCTCAGAATAGCACAAATAATAGCAGCCAGCCCTGGGTGGGTGCTAACCCAATGGATGGCTCACCACCACGCTCTGCTTCTTGTGGAGATGGAGGGAATGTTTGCGAATGAGATCCCGTAAAGGGCAGTAGAGGGTTGAGGGGATACTGTCAAGCCTGCCTCGTTGAAAGAGGCCAAGAGGGAGGCTCCAGCGTGGAGGAAAAGGCCCAATAGAGGCCACAGACCCAGGCCAGGCAGACCCCAAGGCACTGAGCTAGAGCCTAGAACCAAAGTCTGGGTCAGATCCGTGAATCTGGAGTCTTACATTGTCCCTGGGGCTGGAGGTTGCAGGACTCCTCAGAGGGTCCCTCTCCACAAAGGGGAGCTGACCGGCTTGCCCAGCGCCCCTTCACACACCTGCAGAGGCAGGCAGCTTGTTTCCCTTTGGGAAACAGTGAGCTCAGAGCCTCTTCTCCGCAGCATCCTCCCCTACTCCCAGGCCCGAGTCAGACAGAAGAGGCCCGTGCTGTAGATTAACAAATGCTGGCCCACCAGCCTACTCACCTGTGCTATTGGGGGAACCACGGGGGAGGCCATCACCCATTTGCACCTGGACACAGCTACCCAGAGGTGGGCCCAGAGGCGGAGGCAGTGGCTCCTGGGGGTCTGGCTGCTTCAGAAGTTCGGTCAGTGTCCTGTGGGGTAGAGTGGTAAGATGCAGCCCTCCCAGCTTCCTACTTCCCCACTAGCCAGGCGCTGGCCTAGCAAAGGCTGGCCCTGCCACCACTGTCTCACCGTTTCAGCCTCTCTGGACCTCCCTTCTCCCCTGTGATTGACACCATGTCTAGTTTCTCCCACCAGGCCTGACCTGAGGCCCCAACTTCCCAGAACAGGTCAGGAAATTCCAACAGAGTCACATGTAAAGAGGGCCACCTTGTTTTCCAAACGCTCCCTTTCTTCCCTTTCTTGGGGTCCACTCTCCTAGGCCCTCTGAGTTGAGCGTCCTCTCCCAACACCAGCCCTGTTAAGGTTATCAGACTTCTGGACTTTGCTTGTGCTGTTCCCTCTGCTAACAGTATCTTTTCCTCCATCTCCTGTAAAATTCTTACTCACTCTCCAGACCCCAACAGAGAATCCCTCCTCCAGGAAGCCTTCTTTATCTGCCTACCTAACTCACCTTCTGAAGCAGGGGATTCTGCTTGGTCCTGGGACATAGCTGCCAACACAGACATGGAGGAGCCACGAGATCTCCCACTGGTTCAGCACCCAAGGCTGTGTGACCTTGGGCAGTGCCTCCCTGGGTACCAGGCCACCCAGCCCCCACCCAGCTGTGACAGCATCTGATGGAGCCTTCCCTGCAGACGGCCAGACCCAGCCTTCAGCCCAGCTGCCTCTGGCATCCCATCCAGAACCCATGATTTTCTCCTAGCTCTGTTTGACCCTTCTTCTGGTGCTGGGGCCTCAAATGGCTGCTTCTTGAGGAACACGTTGGAGGTAGGACACCTAGGATGAGTGTGGTACGGCTGCAATGTGGAGGGTCTGAAGACCTCTTAGTGCCTGTCTGAGCTGACCTTCAAATACTGCCCTCTCCTCAGCCACCTCGACTGTGATATCTCTGCACAAGCACCCACCAGCCAGCTGTCCAAAAAATCTGAGCACTTTTCTTGTCTCTGGGCCTTTGCACAAACTTTCTCCAGAGACAGACTTCAGCTCCCCTCCAAGCCCACTGCGAAGCCTTCCCAGGTCATCAGCCTCAACACAGCAGAATTAAGGGTGAGACCTGAGCAGAGGGCACACGCCCACATGTGAGCTCAAGTTGGGCTCCAGGTCTCCCCAGAAGAGAAAAGTGAGTCAGGGTACATGGGAGCCTGAAGCCTAGAGAGAGGAAGAGACTGACCAAGATCACCTGGCACATCAGGGGTGGCCAGCTCTTTCTGAAGCATCACCAACCTGCTTCCTGGCCCCTTCAGAGGAAGCACAGTCTAGGTGAACAGCTGGTATTTACTATGGCTGCCCAGCCACCCCCCTATACCACCATGGCCCTCGGCTCCTTCTGCCCCACTCTCTCTGGTCAAGGATATGCCCTGTCCTCTCCCCCTTGGCCAGCATGAAGAATTCCAAGCTCAGGAGGCCCAGGCTCTGCCCCTCCACTGTCCAGGACCCAGGATGGGAGCCTCCACACCAGGGAGGCAGCATAGTAGCTGAGACCAGGGTTCTAGCCCTAGCTCTACCCTAGCAAGTGGGAGTTGGGGGGCTAAATGGTCTAGGGAATGTTGAGTACTGTGGAGTGCCAAGGAAGCCTTAACCCTGTGCCTCTGAAGTCTAGGAGGGAGCAACACCCACACCAGGCCCACCCAGTCAAGAGGCTTCTCTCTGTTGTCACTTCTAAATACCAGCTTGTCATGTGCCTCCTCAGCAGCCCACACCCAAGGGAGCCAGGACCTGGGTGAATGAGGAAGGCACTAGCTCCAGGACATAGGGGTGACTGTGGGAATGTGGATGTGAGTTCAAAGGTGAGGATACAGAATCCCGGAGTCCCTATCCCAGCTGAGGAGGGGAACCTGAGTCCTGCAGACTCCACTTTACACAAAGCTAAGAATTCAGCTAGTTCCTGTCCTGGTCTCAGCCACAAGGAATCTGTGTCCCCCACCTCAGGCCTCTTTCTACGGGGGAGAGGGAAGACCGCACGACCAATGACAACTGGCACTGACCCTCACCTTAGGGGTCACTGAATGGGGTGAATAGGGAAGATCTTCTGAAACCCCCGGAAAGGAAAGTCAGGCCTGAGTCACAGCTTTGGGGGAAGAGGGAGGGTAAAGTGGGGAGAGAAGCAGGAGGGAAGAGCCAGGAGAGCTACAGAGAATCCCCCTTCCTTCCCTGGGGGCCTAGGTGTCCCACAGGGCATCAGCCCACGTGTGACATCCCATGCTAGTGGGATGGGGCCCCAGGTTCCCTCCACTAGGTCAGGATCTTGTGCCCTCTGTCCTGGGCAACCAGCCCTCCCGCAGACTCCGCGGGAGGCGGGGCCGGGGGAGGGCAACCCAGAACCCAGCTCCCGCCTGAAGGTCACGGGGAGACAGGGCGGTATCAGCTGTCTCCCTCCGTGAAGTGGGGGCCGGGGAGGGACACAAACCTAGAGACAAAGAGGAAAAACCAGGGCGAGGGGCTGCTGAGAGGACCGGTTTGGAGAGGGGCGGGAAGGATGCAGGGTCGCCAGGGGGCGCCCACCGGGCAGGGAGGGCCGTCCAGGGCACGGGCGAGGATCCCAGGCCACAGACCCTGGTCGTCGCGCTCACCTGGTCACTGCGCGCCGCGCGCGCGGGCTGTGCGCTCGCTCCAGGCCCAGGCGCGCCCCGATGCCGACCAGTACGAGTAGCGCGGCGACGCCGCACACCGCGTAGACGGCGGTGTGGCTGCGCTCGCGGCCGGGGTCCCGGGGCGCCGCGCGGTCGCGAGCACGCGCGGGCGGCCGGCCTGTTTGCACCCAGGCCGGCGTGTCGTAGTTGGAGCAACGGCTCTGGTCGAGGCGCCTCGGCCCGTCGTGGCAGCAGAAGCGATAGCCGCACGTGCCGCAGCAGAAGCTGTAGGCGCCCGAGCTGCAGTTGAAGGGCGGGTCCCACTGGCCCATCACGTCGTAGTAGCCACGGCAGCGGTCGCCCCCGGCTGGGGCCGCCGTGCTGGGCGCCGCGGGCTCCGGCGCCTCGGGGGCCCCCGCGTGGCCCGACGGCGGCCCCGCCAGCAGCAGTGCCAGCCCGAGCGCCAGCCGTAGCCCCCGCGGGCCGCGGCCGCCGCGCAGCCCCTGCTCCTCGGCCCGCTCCATCGGGCCCGCGCCTTCGGCTAGAGCGCTCGGCGCATGGCGGCGCGCCGCGGCCCCTCCCGCCCGCCTCCGGGCCGGTTCCCCCGCTCCGTCAGGGATCGCGCGGGCCCCGCCGAGGCGGCAGCCTCCTCCGAGGGCCGCGGACCCGCGGGGGCTGGGCCGGCGCTCCCGGGGCCGCACCTCCGGTGGGCGCGTCCTCTCCGCGGCGCACCTCGGACCCGCGCGCCGGCCGGTCAGCGCCCCGGGAGCCCTGCGGGCGGGGCGGCGGGTGCTCGCCTGCGCGCGGCCCCCGGCCTCTCCCCGGCCTGGCGGGCGCACGGGTCGCGGGCCCTAGCGGGGGCGGCGGCCGCCGGACACCGCTGCCCTCCCGCCGCCGGCTCCGCGCTGCCCGCTCTCTGGCTGCGGCTCGGGCTCCGCGCGGGCTCGGCGGGCGGGGGAGGGAGCGAGGGGAGGAGGGCGGGCGGCGGCGCCGGGGGAGGAGCGCGGCCGCCGCGAGGGAGGGGGGCGCGCGGAGCCGAACCCTTCCTCGGACCGGGCGCTCCGGGGGCCTCAGCGCGGCCCTCGGGACTGTTCCTCCGGCACGGAGCCCGCCGAGGGCGCGCCCGTCTGACAGGTGAGGGGACTGGGGGCACAGAGCCGCCCCGGGAGGGTCGCTGCCGGCCCCGCCGGCCCCCTTGCCCCCGCGCCGCCTTCCCGTCCTCTCCGTCAGTTCGGATTCAGACACAGGTGGGCCGCGCGGCAGGCCCTTCGCCTCCCCGCGCTACGGTTTTCCCGCCTCTCAACTGGGCCGGAAACGCCAGCAGAGCCGCGGCCGAGGGCCGGGGTTAGGTCTCCTCCGCGCCGTCTGGGACGCGCCGTTAACCGCGGGGCGCGCGCCCGGGTCCCAGAACCTCGTGGACGCCGGGCTGGGATCTTGGGGCGTCCCCACCACTAGACGCTGGGCCTGGCCTGGCCTGGTCGGCGCCCTCGCGGGGTCTCTCCGCCGCCCCAGGTGTGAGCGGAGGACATTGGACCAGCCTCCGCCTTGGAGGAGGAGGGCGGGGAAGGGACAGTTGGGGGACCCTCCGCCCGGCTCCCCCGCAGGACCCTTAGGCTTTTAATGAGCCACAGGAGCAGGGGGCCGGGACTGGTGCGGAACCCGGACCTTCCGCGGAGCGCAGCCCGGGGGTTTCAGAAGGTGGATTTAACTGGAGAATGTGACTGAGCGGCGGCGCCTTGCTTCCCTCCGCCTCAGATTCTCATTTTAAGATCAAAAACTCTTACTGGGAAGCAGATTCATAATCCGCCCCTTCCAGGAGTCAGGGGCACTGTGGTGCCTCCCACTATCCAGATGGGGACACCAGGAGGGTAAGGGCTGGGGGTACAGTTCACCCTGGTGCCCCCCCATGGCACAGGCCCCGCCATACCTGCTGAATGAATGAATGAATGAAATGACTCTAGTCTCTAGTTTTTGTAAGAGGAAGTTGGGTTGTTAAGGGTCCTTCCCGCTCGCCTTTGCGTGCTCTCTTCCCTCAGCGACCGGCATCAACTTATAAAAATGGAGGAGGTGGAGGGAGGAAGAGGGAGGATTTACATTTAAAGGAGGATCAAGTTCTTCTGTTGCTTAGATGAGGAGCTGACAGGCTAATTTCAGGTACTAGTGCGCTAAGACAGGAAGGGGGTGACCTCCCTGCAACGCCCTCTCTGCTCAGGCTGATTTCCTGTACCCAGACCAGAGAGAGCCTGCTCCTCACCCCTTCACCCACAGACAGGCTTCTGATCCAGCCCCGGAGACCCCACCCCACTAGAAGGCTTTATTACGATTTCAGATGAAAAGAAATGGATGATCAGAGGAATGAAAGGAAATTGCCTTAATCCCACTAGGGACAACTGATGATAAAATATGTCACACTTTACATGCTGTTTTGTAACTGGGTTTTACTTTACTCTTTGCTGTCAAACTTGCAATTAGTTATTCTGCTTAGAACTTTGTAGCTTTATTTTCTAGTGCATTCTTCCCTGCCTCCTTAGCGGGTATTCCACGAACTGCCTAGCTCTCCCCTAGGTTCCCAGGGCTCTGAGTGTGGCAGCTTCTCCCCATCTTCTCACCCTACTGCTGGGCACTATGCTTAAAGAGAGCTTGTCTCTGCTCCCTGGGGCTGTGGCCTCTTGCCAGGTAGGGTGATCCTGGGCCCACAGCAAGTCTCCCAATGCTCTCTCCTGAGTTACCTCCCTTCCCTGAGCCCCTCTCTTGCCCCCACTATCCTGGCATTGGACAATGGGTGCTCTTTTCAGCCTCCATCCCACGTTGATACCCATCAGGTCCTGCATCTATATATTTTCATTTGTCCAGTGAAGGAGCTGGATTCCAGCCCCCCACCCCTACCCCGACACACACACCCAGGGACTGATATCCAACCTCCAGCTCCTTGCCACACCCAGGGATTCCTTCCCATCTCAGTCTGAATCAGTGGTCTGCCAGGAACCATAGAAGCCCACATCTGTCAGGTCTGTGCCAGGCATTTGTTGCCCTCTCTATATGAACACACAGCCTTGAGAGGGAGACAGCAGGGCAAGGCAAATGCAAAGACAGACCATGAGTGACAGGCTGAGCCTTGGGATCTGGCCATCCATTCAGCCAATACCACCCCCCTCCCCAGGTGCCCAGCCAAGTGCTGGACAAGAGAACCTAAAGCAAGAGCAGCCAAGCTGAGGGGTGACCCCTTTACCCAGGCTGCCCTCCCTGGTCCCTGGGGTCTTTCTGCATAGCAAGGCACCACAGCACCTGCCCTTTGTCTCCTCTGCCTGTCCCCCCCAAGTCTGTGTCACCAAAAATCATCCATTGATCCAGGCTTAAAATAATCCCTGGCATCTGCAGCAAGCCCCACGGGGCGGGCAAGAGGAGCTGTGTCTCTGCTCCTGAAGGGCACCCACCCCACCCCCAGCTCCAAGTGCTGGCAGCTGGAGTATGCGGGTGTCTGAGTGTGCACGCAAATGTGAACAAGAGTGTGCATGTCTGCACTGACCTGACCATGAGGGCCTTCCCTGCCCCAGGGGCATGTGCATGCAGTCAGTCAATGTGGCTGTCATGTTCTTGCTCACTCTTGAGCCCTCGCCTGGTGCCCAGCCCTGGCTGTTCAAGGCTTAGCGGCCTGAGAGATCATTAGGGAAGGACTGTTCTGGGCCTGAGTGTCCCCATTTTAGTTGGGCACTGCCCAGCCCTGGGCCAGGGATTTGGGATTTTCTAGAGAGAAACCCAAGACCCAGAGGGGAAATGACTTGCCGTGACTGGCACACAGCCAGGAAAGGCCTGGGTCTGGCCTGGAACTTGCACTGTAAGCCCCAAACCTACCTTCTGGCCAGTTTGGTACAAACAGAGAGCAGCTGGAGGACCCCTGCCAGAGCCCAGCAAAGTGTCCCTACGCCTTGTCCACACATCCAGTGCTTGAGTGATGCCCGATTTGCCCTGACTACTGCATGAGCCCCTGGGTCTTCTCTCTTTCTGGAATACCTTTGCAGCCCCTCTCACCGAGAGCACCTATTTATTTTTAATTCTGGAGCCAGACTAAAGTGGTTTGGAATTTCTGCATTAATTGGACCATTCAACCTTTCTACTCCTCAGTTTTCTCATCTGCAAGATGAGCTGCTAGCACCTCTTTGGCAGGGCTGCAGGGAGAAGCCAATGGGCCCTGGACTGAGAAACACCCAGGTACAGGTGCATGCAGCCTTGTAAGAGTCCCCACCACTGCCGAGCTGAGATGGTGACTGCCACAGTGGGTACTATCCACAAGGCTCAAAGACCTCATTCCCAGGCCCATTTGTTCCCATTTCCTCCATGATGGAGGGTCACCCAAGGAGCAGAGATTCTAGGGGACTATGTGCTCCCTGCTAGCGCAGATGCCAGTGCTGCTACTCGAAGGGGGTCTGAAGGGGAGGGCCCGCGGCTCCTTTGTCTTTCTTGAGAGGCAGCTCGTGACTCAGGCTCCAGCTGCCTGTGCGAGGGAGGGGGCACCGGGGCTGAGGTCGTGAGGGAGCGGCGGCATCGGGGGCTGGGAGCTAGGGCTCAGCCTCGTGTTCCAGTTCCCCATGCACCCTCCCCGACTTTCCCGTCCCTTGCCTCGGGGAGTCTCGCCCCAGACGTTACAGTTAATTCCTCCGCCTGGATTACCACCCAGTAGTTTCCCTGTGGACCCTCCAAAGGCACCAGGGAAAGTGCAGATCCGGAGCCGGCCGCCAAGTCCGTAGCGCAGGGGCAGCCTCAGAGAGGAGAGGGCTCTGCGGGGGAGAGAGCCCCGCCGGCCTGCCAATTCTTGGGACACGACTCTGAGGTCAGCCCAGAGCCTACTGCGAGCCCCCCCGCCCCACACCTCGTCCCAAAGTCGGGCCTCCCCTGGCGCCGGACCCCTGTAAGGACGGGAACGGGCGTGAGCGCGAAGATACAGGTTTGCGGAGCGCACCGCTGGCCGTGGTCCCGCCGCTCAGCTGGGTCAGCCTTTTTCCACGCCCCTCGGCCTTGAACCCGCCCTTCCAGGTGCCTCTGGCCCCGCCCCTTTCCTTGGGGCCCCTCCTCCCATCCTCCCTCCAAGGCCCCTCCCTCGGCCGAGCCTCTCGCCTGGCCCCACCCGCACCGTTCCGCAGCCCTGACCCTGGCGGCAGGCAGTCAAGGTGCCACCCGTTCGCTGACTACAGGCGCCGCGGAGGCAGACTTTCGCCTCCCCCGAGGTACCGTCCTGGATGCGGGCAGAACGCCCGGGGCTAGACCCCAGAATCTCTGCAGCTCGAGGGAGTGAGGAGATGCTCAAAGGCCTTCTGAGTTGGTAGCGTTTCTCAGACAGCTTCCTCGCCTTGCAGAGTCCTGGGAGGGAGCATGGGCCGCGAACACGCGCATCGAAGGCCTCCTGGCTCCTCCCCCACTCTCCGCGCGACCCTAGGCAGTTGTCGTACCCCACCCCGCCCCCGCGGTCGGGGCCAGGGAGCTGGGGAGCCGGCAAGAATTGGAGACAAGTCAGAGTTCAGCTCTGGGTGAAGAATTCGGCCTGAGCCACCCACAGCAGAGCATCCGGGAGTGAGCTCCCCTCCGTGCCCAGAGGAGTGCCAGAGGGGTGTGGTGGATCTCAGAGGGGACAGGGAAGGGTGGGACTCCAAGTGGTGGGATGGAGGAACACCTGGGTTCCCTGAGGGTTTTGCCCCTTTGTGCCATGGGGCAGGCATGGGCACAGGGAAAGTTCTGACACAGCCTCACCTGGTACTCAGAGGCCATGGTGCCCAACTCTCCAGCTCCTTAACTGTCCCCTGCTTCTTGAGCATCCTGCTCCGTCTCCTCTGCATCTTTGCACAGGGTCCCCCAGGAATGCTCTTTCAAAGCTTCCTTCTAGCAGGAAAACTAGGCAGGACTCAGGGCATACCCCCTCCTCTCCAAGGCACCCCCTCTGTGCTGGAGTGGTCACCGCCCTGCTCGGAGCATTCCCTGGCCCTGGCATGGGTCACCCTGTCCTGTCACTGTGTTCTGTCTCTCCTGACGAATTAAGACCTACTGGCGAGGCTGACCTCCCAGCACCACCCAGAGAGGCCCTGGTATAGATTCGGCGCATCCAGGATCTAGTGTGACGGATGGGGCTATACATGGATGAGTGAGATGAGAGCCTAGGACCAGTTCACTTCCTGGGGGATTTCTGAGGGTTGGGGACTCTGGCCAGGAAATGTCTGCGTCCCACGAAGGAGGTGCAGCCACTCCTGGACCCTACTGGCCACATGACCTTTTAATCTCCGACAGCTGGTTGGCCCACAGGTTCCAATTTTAAGATAGGGAGACAGGCCCAGAAAATGCTACCAGTTCTCTAAAGGCAAGGACTGTGTAGGGCCATCCTTGCTGAGAGAGGAGGAGAAGAGGGGTGGGTCCTTCCTCCCGGACCTCACCAGCTGGGTCTCCCCACCCCCACCCTGAGAGTGGAGCCCGAGGCTGCCCAGCAGGAAGTGAAATGTGCCTGCCGGAAGCCCCAGGAGGAACTGAGACTTCAGCCAGCCCCACCCCCACCTGCCAGGGCCCAGGGGACCTCGGGGAAACCAAACCCTCCTTCAGGAAAAACTGGCCAGAAACACAGTCTAGGAGGAGGGGGGCTGCTTGCCTCTGTTCCCACCCCAACAAGCAGTTCTTCCAAGTGTATCTTGGATCCCTCTTACTGCAAAAACAGACCAGCTTGGGAGGGAAATCTGAGTAATGATGAAAACAAGGAGCAAAGCCTGGATCAATCCCTGGAGCCGGCTTGGCCACTCCCAAGGTGGCACCTGGACCAGTGACCGCTGCCCTTTGCACTGGGCAAGGGCAGGAGCCTGGGTCCAGCCCAGCACCACCACTGCTTAACTGTGTCTTGGGCCAGATTCCTTCACCATTGTGGGCCTCTCTTTTCCTGTTTGTGAAATGGCCATATAATCCCTGCTCAGGGACACGAACTAGTCTAGATTTCCAAGAATGCAATTCAACTAACTGGGGCCTTGATAAGGGACAGGCCTTTGGTTGCAATGGCTCCTTCGCAGGCAAAGATTTATGTCAAGGAGATGCTCCTGCCTCAGTTACAATAGTAAAGACCAAAAATAACCAAATGCCCAAGTGGAAAATTTTACAAATGTTAAAAATCTTGTTTGCAAAGTGTTCAACACAAGAGAAAACTCACCAAATATGACAGTCAAGATATAACTTTCTAAGTATAGAATGACTGCAATGATGTCAGAGAAGCCACCACTCGGTCCTGGTGGTGTTGGATTATGGGCCATTTCTCCATAGACTCCACCCTGGATGATTGTCCTGAACTTTCAAAAAATACCTATAAAACGTGTATCATGATTTTTTTTAATAAAAAATCTTTTATAAAAGCAAATACAAACACCCATGCCCCTCGTCCAGCTGCTGTCATAAAGATCAAAGGCAGTAACCTCGTGAAGGATCCTTAGAGAATGTACAGGACAGAGGGCCAGAGAGTGGGGGCCCCTAGGAGGTGAGGTCCTTTTCCAGGGGTTGGGGGAGACTGGCCCCTCCTTGCCTGCCTCTCCCCCAACTCTGTAAATAAAAGGAACTTTCCTTCTATTATTTGCTGGGTGGCAATGATGCCATGTCTTCTTCCTCTCTAGGCCTCAGTTTCCTCATCTGTAAAATGGGGCAGGGGCAGGATTCTCTGTTTCCTTGCTGTCTTTCTTTTCTGAGGATCGCAGGCCAAGAGGACTCTGCATACAACCTTCATTTTTCAGAAAAGGAAACTAAGGCCAGAGGAAAATTGCACATCAGTCAGGGGCTTAGCGGGTACACAGCACTGCCAGAGGTTTGCATGTCTGGGCCCAGAGAAGTTTTGCCCACTTGTTTTATCTCTAGGTCCCAGCCCCTGACTGTGGTAGGCAAAGGTGGTTGGGAGAGAGGGGTGGCTGGGAAAAGCTCAGACTCCCCCAAGCCTGACGTGGAGGGGAGTAGCTGGCGGTGCCCATTCTGGGTTTGCTCCTAACCCTCTGCCTACTGCCTGCCACCTGACCTCATCCAAGCCACTTGGCTGCCTAGGGGGAGGGGCTCTGAGATGGGTTCAGGGAGGGAGTGGCTAGGAAGAGGCTTAGAAGTGAGTATCTATGTGCTGGGAGCTCCAAATTCTATTGGCTGATGACTGCTTTCTGAGCTGGGAAAGGGGTAGGCAGGAAGGGCAGGTGTCTGCTGCTGGGTAGAAAGCATCTGATGCATGGAACATGGCCAAGGTCTACAGTGAGACAAAATGATACCCAGAACCCCATCTTCTGACTCCCAGTCCAGTGTTCTGGCCAAGAGTGCCAAGCTATGACAAAGTCCAAGGATGCTGTTCAGGGCAGAGTCCAGGTCAGGAGGTTCTGACCATTGTAGGAGGGCTGGCAGAAGAGACAGCAGCTGACTGAGTGCACAGTACTGGAAGAGATGGGGGCTCAGCCCCAGACCCCAGAGCAAGGGCCCTTGCTGTCAGAGGAGCAGTTCCCCTGGAATAGTGGGTGAGCCCAGGGGCTGGCACAGAATGTTCAAGTGACCCCAGCAATTGTGGCTCAGTGCTTGGAGAGGGCAGGCCGCAGAGAGAAGGGAGCTCAACGGACAGGTCCAGATTCAAAGTTACAGGCCTGTCCTGGCCTCTGAATGAAGGAGCCTCCTGCAGGTCCTGGGCCCTGCCCTGTGTGTGTCTAATTGTGCCTTGGAGCAGCTGAGGCCCCAGGTGGTCTCTGAGGAAGATGCCCATCAGTGTGCCTTCAGCGTGAGTTTGCAGTCCAGCCCCAGAGGCTGCAGACTTCCTCCCAAGTGCAAGCCTGGGCTCTGGAAGCTGCCACCAGGGTGACTATGGCATTGGATTGGGCCAGGCTCAGGGTTCACCCTAGGGTGCAGATATCTGCACAATCCAGACTATTTCTTAAAATTATCTTGTACTAAATCCTGAAGCAAACCAGTTAATTGGTTATTCATTGCTGTCATTTGCATCAGTTTAAAAGCAGGACAGCTCTGAGAGCAAGTATTAAAAGAAATACAACACCCAGCCACAAACCAAGCATCCTCCCACTTGATCCCTCTACTAGATTCATTCTGGCTCTGGTGGCTTCCCCATGCTTAAAGAAGAACCTCCTACTCAGAGTGCCCCAACCACTCAAACTCACAGCAACTCTGCCACAGTCTTCAACGGCTGCCAAAGATGGTATAGTTTTAAGCCAAATGCAAACATGCCAATGACACCATACTGTCTGAACCCTTTGGTCTGCAGTCTGTTGTTCTGCAGGGTTATTAGCTGGGGAGCAGCCGGGCTCCCAAGAAAGGGGCAGGTGGGTACCCGGTGAAGAGCTGAATTCAACCTCCAAGCCCCTGGCTGAAGGCCCACAGGGAGGGCAGGGTCTGCCTCTGTCTCCCCTCCGTTGCTACTGTTGCTCAGGGCCAGCCGTCTTGGTGGTTACCAGCTCAGTGGAGCCCAGCTCTGTAGCTGGCACAGGGACGCTGTGGGCAGGTGGGGTGATGGCTGGGTCTTCTCTGGGTGGAGGCCAGATGGGAGCTGTGGCATCAAACGATCCAGAAGAGAGAAGGACGACATTGTCCAGGGGCTCTGGTGGGGGGAATGCAGGGTCAGGATTGGGCCACAGTCTTCCCCCACCCCTGTTCTGGAAGCCTCCTGGAGGGACTGAGAGGTAGGTGATGAAGCCCCACTGCAGGGCTGGGGACGGGTGGCACCCGATTGGCCCTCGGGGCAGGAAGTGCTGAGAGAGCTGGCAAAGTGAGACTGCGACAGAAGGGAGAGAAGGGCGGGAGCTAGTCTGGCTGTCCCCGGGGACCCTCCAGGCCCAGCTCCCCAGCTGGTGTCTTCCTCAGAAGTCTGGGAGGCTAGAGCTGTGTCCCTCGCTTGGCCTGGGGTCTGAGTGGGACTATGCCTCCTGCTCCGACGGAGATGCTCGGAGCAAGCTCCGTCCCTCTGTCTGCAGCACCCTTGGAGCGCCGCCCCTTTCACTCTGCCCCTAACCCTGGGCGGGCACGGCGCAACCCTCCCAGCGGCGGCGCCCTCGGTTCCCCAGGCGGACTCACCGTCCTGGCCTCTGACCGCCGCCTCAGGGGCGGCCGCCCCGCGGAGCCGCCGCCTTCGCCAGCGCCAGCTCAGCAGGCACACCAGGACCAGGGCCAGCGCCAGGCCCAGCAGCGCGGGGGCGCCGAAGAGCAGCGCGGGCAGCGGCAGCGCAGCCTCCGCCTCGGCCGCGGCGCCCGCGCCCACCGACTCCTGCGGCTGCAGCGCCGTCCCGGGCACCAGGCTGCTCGCCCCGGCTGCTGGCGGAGGGGACGGGGAGGGAGGACGGGGGGCGGAGGGGACGGGCGGCCGGGGAGGTGGGGAGCCGGAGGGAGGCGAGGCTGGGCCGGGGAGGGGAGGGACGGCCGGGGGAGGGACAGGGGGTGGGGGAGAGAGGGGACCGTGAGGGCCGCGTGTGATCGCTGGTCCCCCTGCAGCCCCTGCCCGGCGCCCCTACCCCCTCCCGGGATTTTCGGGCCGGGACGACCTCCTCGGCTGGAGCCTCCTCCCGTCCGCGCGCCCGGGGCCCCGTGCCTCAGCGGTCAGAGCGGCTCCACTCTTACCCGGTCCGGGCTCGGGCGTCCGGAGGAGCCGGCAGGCCACGCAGTTGCGGACCAGCGGGTCGAAGCACTCTGCCTGGACGCACTGCGTGGGGGCCGGCCCGTCCCTGCCCCTCCGGCTCCTCGCCGCCCGCCCCATGCTGCCAGGGCCGCACACCCAGCTGGGACTGAGACCGGCCTCCGCGCCGGAGGAGGAGACCTGGGGGAGGGGGGGGCACCGCCCACGGCGCCCCGCCCCGCCGCCCGCTGGGTGGGACCACTCTCCGCCGGAGCCCCAGGAACAGCACCCAGACCTTCTCTTTCTATCTGCGGTTCCTCCATTCAACCACTCAACCATCCCGCCGGCGCCTCCCCGGCAGGCCCCTGCTGGGCCCTGGGACGGGGCTGTGGCTCAGGCCAGGCCTGCTCTTGGCAGCAGAGGATGGGCCCCCCGGGGCAGGGCACAGACGTCTGGGGGCCTTCTCTGTCCTGTCCCCAAGGCCAGCCCAAAGGCCCAGGTGATCCCCGCCAGCGCTCCCCTCCTCTGGGAGCCATTCTGCCTTCCCAGGCAGTTCTGGTTCAGGTCATCAAACACTTGAGCGCCGCGCTGTACCCGCCCCCGAGGGATGGCGGCGCTGGTGGTGGTGGTGACAGGACTGGGGAAACGCCTCGTAGCAGGTCATCACCGCAGAGGGTCAGGAAGGCTTTGTGGAGGCGGTGATGAGCGGGCGTTTGCCAGATGGAGGGAGGCCTAGAGAGCATGCTGGTGAGGTTGGAGGCAGTGTGAAGAAAGGCCTTTGGCCCAAATAGGAAGGTCAGGGAGTACTGGGACCAGAGGGCTGGGCTGGGGCCTTGACAGAGGAGTAAGGAGCTTGGACTCTGGCCCAAAAGCACTGCGGAGCCACGTAGGGCTTAAGCAGGGAGTGTCACAGTCTGATCGTCAGGAGAAACCTCTGGCCAGAGTGGACAGCACAGGCAGGATGGGCGAGCACAGGCGACGGTCCACAGACAGCCCAGTTTCCAGATCTTAAGCAGACTCGGATCAACAGATGTGGTCCCTCAATTCCAAGATCCGTTAGGCAGCCCGCAAAGGGGGCCATGTGACCTGGCCTGCTTGCCTCTACATCTAAAGGAGGCCCCTCCTGTCTCCTCCCCAGTGTGAGGCTCACTCACCTCTCAGCCGAGTCTCTCTCTCTCTCTCTCTCTCTCTCTCTCTCTCTCTCTCACACACACACACACACACACGTGGGGGCAGGGGCCGGCAGAGGGCCTCAGCATGGAACACAGGCTTAGGGCCTCAAGGTGGGCCCTACCAGACCCCTAAGCACTCAGTGCTGGGGTTGGGAGGGATACAGAGGCAGGTGTGACTGTCCAGGAGACAGGGAGGGGACTTGGGGACAGGTGCAATGGGGCAGGAGGGATTGGAGGTGACAGGGGAAGCCTGCTCTGGGGACAGGCAAGGCTACTGCCTCTGGGGATGCCGTGGAGGGATGGACGGACCTGAGACTGCAGCTGGGGGCACAGGCTCAGCGCAGTGACGAGCCCTGGGAGGTGTGGGAAGGCCGTGCTCTGGAAGGGCCCCTCTGGCTTCCGCTGGGAGGCTGGACAGGGAGGGCGGAGCAGCAAGGAGGCTGGCACTGTGTCCAGGGCGGGGGAACCATCTAGCAGTTGTTTAGGAGGGAAGAGTGATGTGACAGAGTGAGGTAGCAGGGGTGGTCCCTAGGTTTCTGGCCCCCACTTTGGCGTCCTGGCCCACTGTCTCTCCATCCCCTGCCCATGGGCCAGCAACTCTGTGGCAGGAAGGTGTAGGCGGTGGGACAGCTGCAAGGGAGAAGTGGGTCTGGGGTGGTGGGTGTGGGTGTGTAGTGAGGGGGTGGGGAGCCCGGAGCACAGCAGGGACGGCCCTCTGGTAGGGAGATGGTGGGCAAGGCTGGAAGCCCTGCCACAGCCCCCACCCTCAGCACTATCTGGGCTGTGGTCCCCTGTCCCCAGCAGGACTGCAGGGGCCTTTCTACACACCAGGCACCTCATTTAACCATCATGCCAGACATTCGGGCAGAACAGGCTGAGGTTTGTGGGAACCGGGAGCGGGGAACCTGGCCCTGGGAGACAGTGGGCCAGTGGGGCTGGGGCTGGGGTCATTTACATGAGCCACCTGTGCACAGGCACAAGGCCGCTGTCTCACTGTGGCTGCTCTGACTGGCAGAGAACAGACGAGGTGGCCCTCAGGGCCCCAAGCCAGAGGGAGAGAAGTCTGGTCTGCCAGGCCCGCACCTCAGTGCGGGCAGCCTTGAGGCAGAAGCAGAATCACTCATTTGACGCGGGTGTTCACGGGGTGCGTCCATGAGCCTGCAAGGGGCAGGTCCCATGGCAACAGCGAAATGCCTGGGGGAGCCAGGCAAGTGCCTGACCCTGACAAACCTTTTCACTCGTGCCTCCTAACCGACATGTCTGCGTGGACGGCTCAGCAGTTAGGAAGAGGGTTCCCCACCAGTCCGCGGTGATGAATGTGAGGCTGGTCTCCAATGCCTGTTATGTTTCTGGCATAGCTTTTGTCGTTGACATTACTTAACTAGGAGATGTGACCAAGAGAGAGGACTTAAAAGTTTCTAAAATCAATGTGGTTCTTGTTAATTTTTAAGTAATTTGCTATCACCACGTCAATGTGTTCCTGAGTAAAAAATAAGGGACTTTGTCGCTGAAAACCTCTTCTAATTGAATCTCTTACTGCTCTCAAGTTTTTATTCACTGATGAATTTTTTTAATGGTAATTTTCCCTTTAAAAAGGGAAAAGGGTCTCCCTTGATCTTTGTTCCCAAATTTCCCCCAAAACACCCTCCCAGTGGCTCTGACACAGGCGCTATTACGATGTCCATTTTTCAGATGGGGAGACAGGGTCTCTGAGGGGCAAAGGGATGACCCAGCACATACTTGGGACCTGGATGGGGTCTGTGTCCAGCCAGCTGTGAAGCATGGCCTGTGCCCGTCATGCCTTGGCGACAGGGTGGGGAAGTGAGGAAACCCTACCTGCTGGACAAGCTCAGTGCGGGGGCGCTGTCCCCAGGGGCAGAGGGGCCCAGCCCCCAGATCTGGATGTGAAAGTGCTCTGGGACCTGGGATGCACGCTGCACTTAAAAGTCAGTGTTATTTGTCATTCTGCGAGTAATACCTGAACACATTCTCGTCAAAAAACCCTCGAACAATACAGAAGTCTCTGAGTAAAAAGGGGCATTTCCCTGCCGTCCCCAGGGGGAAGCTGTCTCACTTTGGACTCTTTCATCCCAATCTGGTTTTGCGCCTTTAAATCCTCATGTGTGGGTACCGGAGCATAAAGGGGCCACATGGTGTGGGGTGCTCTGCTGGCCTCCCTGACCCCTCATGATCTGTCAGCGCTCCATCTCACTCGGTCACAGTGGACTGGATTCCCTAAACCGGACTTTCTCATGTTTTTAGCTCTGACAAACAGGACACTGCCAGGAAGCCCCCCTGGGGTGCACTGAGATAAACCTGCCGTTGGGGGAGAGCAGGAAGGATGCGATGTTGGGCCCCTGGATGCTGGGAGGGGGCAGGAGAGGCAAAGGGATCGACACAAAGTCCTGGTGAGGCCGGAGGGCAGCCCCCACCACGGCCCCTCTCCCCTTGAACCCAGGCTGTGCAAGGGCAGGTCCCCCTGTGATGAAGCAGTTAGAGAATCTGTGCCCAGGTCTTCACAGGCCCAAGCTGCTTCTCCTTAAGTCTCCATTCTCCACACACATACAGTCCAGCACCCCTTGGGGTTCCTGGCCAGGGCAGCTCCAGCACTTCTCGCAGCATGGCCCTGGGGTAGGGGATATGGCCCTCTGTGGGAGGGAAAGGAGACCCCTTAGCCTCTCAGCCACAGGGTGTGGAGTACCCACCTCCTGGAGGCCAGGCCTGCAGGTGGGAGGTGGATGGCTGAGAGGCCAGGTGGGGAGGAGGCTGAGGAGCAGGGAGCCTCCCAGGGGCTGCCCCAAGGCCTTTAGGGTACCACAGGGGAGGGATGAGAAGCCTGCTGGCTCTGGGCCTCCTGCATGAATGCACAGGCCTCCTCCACATGCAGACACCTCCACTCACTTACCAAATAGTTACAGAGACCTACTATGTGCCAGGCACTGTTTTGAGCTCTGGGCACACAGCAGGGAACCACAAAGACAAAACCCCATAGTCAGGGAGGAGGTGAGAAGTGCTGGGGAGAAAAACACAGGAGGGATGGTTTCAGGAAGGGCCAGGGAGTCAGGGAAGGCCTGGTGAGACCTTGAGACAGAGAGACAGACAGACAGAGAAGATAGGGAAGACAGACCCCCAGGGACTTCCAGGAGGAGCAGACAAGCCCAGGGCATGGTGCAGCAGCCAGGAAAGCCGCAGTTCGCAGGACCCACTCAGTGCTCGCCTGGCCCACCTTGTGGCCCGCAGGCACCACACGCCTGGCCTCAGCCCTACTGGGAAGGCGGCCCTGTGCTGCTTACTCCCCAGAAAGGAAAGCAAGCCCAGGATGAGGGGCGAACTGAGCCAGGCAGCCCTCAGCCGGAGCGTTCCTGCCACCACTGTCAGCAGACTGGCCCAGCCCTGCAGAAGCCTGTGGCCAAGCATGGCAGAAGAGCCCCGAGAGCTGGAGGAGCCCCCAAGGCCTGGCCTGGAGGGGCTTTTATGAAGTCAGACCAGACATCTACCAAATGTTAGCTCCTGGGGCCCCCCAGATGCCTCTGGCATTTCCTCTGATATAAGAGGGTGGCCCGAGGAAGGCTGCCTCCTCTCCAGGCCAGGGGCACTGAGGACTGTCTGCCCGCTCTCCCTCCCAGGGCTGGTCTCCAGTGGCCCCCAGTCCACAAGGTCACACTTAGGCAGGCCTCAGATTGGCAGCATGCAGGGCTGGATAGCCATCATTGTCCTGACTCCCTTCTGATGCCCTTGAGTCTCCAAGTATCTGCAAGAAATCCTTCCACACCAGTTCTGTACCTGCATCTTACAGCCCCAGGGAAGACAGAGGGAGAGTAAGCCAGCAGGTGCCTTGTGGAAAGGGTCCTTCTGTGCTGGAGTCCTGCCTGAGGTTCTGCCTAGCACCAGGTGTACGGGGAGGGGCATGCCATGGCAGGTTCATCTCAAGAACACCCTGGCGCTCACCTCACCTACCACACCCCTGGGCATGGCATCCGTCTGTGGAGGGCATACACAGGGCAGGCACTGTCAGGTCTTCAGTTTCCCTGAGCCTTATGAGAACCTCAAGAGGCTGTGGCACTCAGGGGCAGGAAGTGAGTTGCCCCAGGTCACACTGCAGGTTGGCCGCAGACCCCAAGTCAGTGGGACTCAGAGGCCGGGTCCTTTCCCACTGCACCACTTCCCCTCTGTGGCCAGGCTGCCCTGTCTCAGCCCCAGCCCCAGGCTGCCTGGCCTCTGCTCGCTGAGGGGTGAAGCAGACACAGGTGCCAGGCTGCAGAGCCCCCTCCCCAGCAGGGAGGCCCTGCCTCCTGGGAACAGATGGGAAATACCATCAGATTGGGCCAGAGCACTTCAGCTCGGGCCATATCCCACCCCGAATTAAGCTCTTTGGGGTGGCCCAAGGGCTGCCCATAACCAGGTTGTCTGAGGAGACAGAGGAACCTATGGCCTTGCCCCTGAAGATCCTGGGATACCTCACCCACACGGTGGGGGCCCAGGTCCAGGCCTTCCTCCACACTCTAGGCAAGTGTGGGCCCCGCAGCCCCCAGGTCCAGCTGAAGGACACCTCCTCCAAGAGTCTCAGGCCGCCGCCCCCTCGGACCCGCAGCCCACCCTCAGCAAATGCCTCCATTGTGACCATGGCCAGCCTATGAGGTCTGACATTTGCTTAAAGCTTTATATTTAAAATAATGGCTTCTTACTCTCCATTCTTACAACCAGCTGGGGTGAAAGGCAGTAATTAGCCTGAGCCCATTCCATAGATGGGGACGCTGAGGCTCACTGGTCAGTAAATAGACAAGAAGAGTCTGGCCTCTCTCCCTCTACCCCACCACAGCACTAAGCACCAATCTTGGGCACCGTGGGGGCACAAAGACTGGTCTTCCATTACCTCCCTTGGTCAGACTGCCTCCTGGACAGTGTCACTGGCCTCCAGACAGTGCAAAGCGGCCACACTCCCTGCCCAGGGGTAGCAGGCTGAGAGGGCCGCTGACTGCTCTTTGGGGTCGCTCAGCTCTGCCGTGAGGCAGAGGCGGCCTCTCGGTCCCAGGGACCCTGCCAAGCTCGCTGGAGCTGGCAGCAGTGACGGCACCATGTTCCCCCAGCACTTGGAAGGCTCCCAGATCCTCGGCTGCAAAATGTGATGCCACTTCTCTCCCTAAGTGGCACCAGGTGGCAGAGAAAACATGGCACAGGGCCAGAGGGAGACAGCGTGCCCCTTGCTGGCTTGGCGTAGGCTAGGGAGTATGGGGAGGGCCTCCCCTTTGTTTCTAGCACTGAGTGACATGTCCAAAAGAGGCAGCCAGGCTGTGTCCAGGCTGTGTCCACACTGCCGGCCTCTCCTGCTCGGAACCATGCTCCAGCAGCGCCCAAACCTACCCTACCCTCTAACGGCCCGCCGCAACTGCCCTGCAAAGTCCTGCCCTTTATGGCCGGGGCTACTGAAGCGCTGGAGACAATGCTGGTTTCTAGGAGCTGCTGGGCCCTCTGAGATGGCGGGCCTCTTCCTGGACCTCTGTAGATTCTACTCATCCCCTCAGAGACCGACACACACCTTTACCTCTCACCTCCAGCCTCCTCACTCAACCCTGGACCCATCCCAGCCTCACACCATAGCTGGCCACTTCCCATATGCTAGGGGAGTGCCTGGTGCTGGCCGCAGCCATGCTTAAGCCCGCACTTGGGCCTGTCCTCCTGGTGTGGGCTGCGGCCCTCTCCTCCATGAAGCCTACCCTGCCTGGGCAGCCTCCGCCCTGTACTGAGGGTACCGAGCAGTCCTGTCCTGAGGTTTGGGCCCCCCATGATGGAGCGGCACTTTACGAGACTGCCTTCCAAATGGCTGCTTCCATGGGCACAGGGCTCTGTCGCCGTCACTTCTGTGTTCCTGGCTCAGGGCCTGCTCAGCAGAGATGCAGGAACATTTATTCCCTGATCACGCCCAGAGGAAAACAACTGGAGGGAAAAAGCAGAGGCTTGGGCCAGAGGTGGGCTCTGGTGTAGACAAGCTACATGCCTGTGGACGCACCTCTCATACCAACAGTCTCGGTTTCATTAACTGTGAAATGGGGAAATGTTATCAACCTCACAGGTCTGCTGGGAGGATGACAGGAGCGGCTGTGTGAGAAGACTCTGTAAAGCGTGAAGGGCCCTGCAAGTGTCACCTCACCCGGAATCTATGTAGCTGAGGTCCTTGGTGGGGCCCAAGGGCCTGCCTCGGCCAGCCAGCTGTCTGAGCATGAGGGGTGGGGCACTGGGCTAGGTTCTGGAAGTTGCCCAGGGAAAGGAGGGCAGGGCCCTGCCCCCAGGACACTGGCAATAGGTTTTAAGCTGGCCCATCTGTCATGAAGAGCATGAGCTCTGCGCCGCAATGGTGACGTCAAAGCAGAGAGGCCCCGCGGTGCTGGCACTGCCCTGGCACAAGCAGGGTGGGGTGGGGATGGCAGTCATGCTCCCAGGAAGCCGGGCTGGTTCCCTCTGAGGCCTCTTCCCCTGCCCTCCTGCGGGTCCAGCGGTCACAGGGCACCAGCAGGAGCCCCATCCTGGCTGATGGGATTTCTGGATTCCAATCCCACCACTTCAGTGAATTCAGACCCAAAGGAGGCGGCCAGCGGTAGTCCCTGTACGATCTCTCCCTGACAACCCGGAAGCCAGCCCGCCAGCCCACCAGCCCACTTCTGTCACCGAATTCTCACAAACTGATGAATTCTTAGGCAATGTCATTCCTGGATCTGCCCCAGGCTTTGAGCTTTGCTCTGTGTGATTTCAAATAATAGCTGCCGCTCAGTGAGTGCTTACCTGGCACTATGCGAGGCATGAATGTGATTTATTAGGGACCTCAAGCATACAAACAAGGGTAGGGGGTGACACCACCCCGGGACTTCACCTGTCCATCTCCACTTTACACCTGCAGAAACGGAGGCTCCAAGAGGCAAGAACTAGGTCCTAAGAATGGCACGGCCAGGGCGTGGAGTCAGACTGGGTGCAGAGCTCCAAGCTCCCGTGACCCACCCTACGCTTAAAATTGTTCTCAGTTTCCTCATCCAAAAATCAAAGTAGTGAATGAGACCCGTGATTTTTAAACTTTTTTTAGCCACAGACCCTTTGTTCAAATGGAGCCTTACGTGGAGATGAACTGCTTTAGCCGGATAAAGACTCAGGGCTCTGCTGGAGGGAGCTGAGCCCCTCCTCCCTCCCTGAGGCCCCCCATCCCCAGCAGGGGTGCACAGAGGTCAGGCCTTGCAGGGAATAGACCCTGACCCACTCTTCAGCAACAGTGACTGTTCGCTGGACAGGGCACCAAGCCATGGGGGGCAGCCTGGGCCAGAGGACCTGGCCGCTCTCACAGGTCCTCCAGGGAGGGGTTCTCAGAGCTCCTCAGCAGGGACAGCAGATTCAGGGCTGAGACACCGGGCACGTGGCCAGCGCAGATCTGCAGCATCCGTACCAGGCGCTGCGCCATGGTGGTTCGAGAGACTTCCATCTGCAGAGAAAGAGCAGAGAACAGAAGTGAGGCAGGTCCAATCTGCCAGTCCTGCGCCCCTTACTCAGAGCACCTGCGCAGGCTGCCTAGATGTGGGGACAGCTCAGAGCACCACTGCCCCCCATGGCGATGCTCTTATCACTTTGGGCACCTCACGGAGCAGCTTCCAACCACCTCTGCTTACTGGGTCCTCCCAGCGCCCTCCAGGGGCACAGGAGGTGATGGCCCCTGCTCCAGGGTTACGAAGGCTGAGCAAGTAGGCTGTGAGGTTAGCTAAACTGCCTGGAGTCACACGGCTCATGACCACAGAGGTGTGCTAACCAGTGCCCAGGAGGCAGAGACCTGGAAGCCTCCCTTAGCTGGGACCTGCGGACACTGACAGGGAGGTGCCTTCAACAGAGGATTCCTTTATGGGGCTTTTGAAGAACCAGTGGGGTAAGGTAATTAGACTACCAGGGCCCAGCGCCGGCTAGTGCCAGGCAAACAGGAGATGCTCCATAGATGTGTGTGAAGAGCGGGCAGTGATGCCCAGGTGTCCTGCCCTGGCTAAGGCACCCCCTCCTCCAGGCTCCCCTTCTAACCAGGAGGCCCAGCACCGGTCAGTCACCCAGTGGTCCAAACTAGAGATCAGGGCATCCTCAGGTCCTCCTGCTCACACTCCCACCGCTTGTTACCCATGACCTCCTTGGGTCTAAACTGAGGTCCCATCTCGGTCCTCCCACTCTGGCCTCATTCTCCCCAAACTTGCCAGCATAATCGCCACTCCCTCCCTCCTCAAAACACCTTTTCTAACTTCTTTCCTGCTCCTCATAGACTGCCTTCTCCTCGCTGCCCAGCACTTACTCAAGCCGTTACAGTGCCATTCTAACCACTGTGCGCCCACCTGACCCGTGACTGTGCCATTCTAAACACGGTGTGGCCGCGACCTGTCATAGTGCCTTCTTAACCGCTGCGCTTCCCGCTGCTTTACTCTGTTCCCTCCGCTGGAGCAGGGCTCGGATTCCTTTTACTGTTTTGTTCTACACTGCACCCCCAGTGCCGAGAACAGCGCTTGGCACGCTGCAGATATGTGAGAAATGTCTGTCAGGTAAGACCTCTTACTCTCAGTTCTGAGGCCTTTGCCAATAAAGGTACCTCCCGGCTGCTGCTGCCTCCTCTGATCCACACATCACACTCCAGAGATGTGACCAAAGACCCAAGTCTGGTCACATCACAACGGCCTCATTCACTTACAGAAAGGAATGACTCCTTTCTCCTGCCAGGCTTCCAAACATCAGCAGCCCTGTCTGCTGCCCCATGTATTACATGCTGGTCTGTGTCACTGGGTTCTGAAAGGGCAGGGACTGTGACTGATCCACGTGTGCTCTCAGGGACCAGCACGGGACCCTGTCAGCAGAACGAGGAAATCATTTCCCTGGCAAATGCCACACCTCCCTAAACATGTTTCCTCACGTGCAAAATGGGGGCTGACAGTCCTGCCATGCAAAGTCCTTAAAATATGGTGAGGCTCAAACTCGATGGTGTGGAGGGGTGTGCCTGAAAAGGACACACAGGTACAAGGAGTGGTGACCATCCAAACACTGGGTGCTTCACCTGAGGGAATGCCAGGTCTGTGTTCTCAGCAGACCAGCTGTGGGCTAAGAAGAGCCCACCGCCACTGGCCTTTTCTCAAGTGCTCAGGAGCCGCGATCACCCAGGACCTGGTGTGGCCTGCCACCTACTGGCCACACACAGAACCGCCCACCATCCCAAGGCTAGCTGGCACTCCAGCGGGCTAAATGGCCAACCAGCGCGCTGAGCTGTGGTGCAAAGATTACGATTCCCCTTTGAGGCAAGAAGACTGCAGCTGCTGGGGGTGGGGTGGGGAGGTGACTTGTTCAAAGCCACACAGTCAGCAGGCCAGGGTGGAAGAGAGAGCAGCATACGGACCCACAGACTTATAAGGATTCACACTGTAGAGAGAGGGGCTGAAGAGCAAAATTGATCATCAAAGCATCAGTCTGCTCAGCTACCCTAGTAATAAGGACTCACTTTGTGAGAAACACCCACAGAAGTGAGTCGGAGCAGAACCAATACCATATGTGTCCTTCCAACCATCAACCCAGCGGAAAAGCCGGGATTCAAACCGCATCTTCTGTCTCTACATCAGGACCAGCTCACTTGAGTGCCCAGGGATCCCCCAGGCAGCGTTCCTGATATGCCCACCGTGTGCTGACTCCCCTCTCTCTGTACCTGCACGACCAGCATCCTCACCTCCAGGTCACAGAAGAGCAGGGGGCTCCGGTAGGTGTGGGCCAGCTTCACGACGGTGTTCCGATGGACGCTGCAGTGGCTGTCCCGCCCAGCTGCAGAGAAGCCATCGGCTGTAACCTCCGCCTTCATGGCTGTGATCTAGGAAGCCCTGGGCAAAGTGATTCACTTCCCCTCCCTGGGCCTAAGTTCCTTACTCGTCGGTGTGGTGGCAAGCCTGTTCTACCTTCTTCTCAGGACAGTTAAGATCATCAAATTAGAAAAAAAGGCTGAACAGGCTTTGAGGGAGTGCTCTATAGGAACATGAGTTTCCTCATGTATAGAATGAGGCTAATAACAGCCCCTGCACCCTACTGAGTTACTAGAGAGATTCAGTGAATTAGTATATAGAAATGACCTGCACTCATTTATTCACCAGTGCTGATTGAGAACAGTCTGTGCCAGGCGCTCCGGTGAAGGAGTTCACAGTTCAGCTGGGGTCAGGGAAAAGGTCAGACACACACCATCGGTGTAGGGGGAAGGGTGGGGAGAGTCTGACAAAGGTATGAGCATACCCTGAGGGTCTAGACTGTAGGGCTGGTCAGGGAGGCATCCCCCAGAGGTAGAAAATATGGGGCAGCTGGATGAAGAGGGGGAGGCAGCATCTGCGAGGAGCCATATGGGATAGTCATCAAGGCCATGGGCTCCGGAACACGACTATCCTGTATGGGTCTCAGCTCTACCACTTTTTAGCTATGGGACCTTGGGCAAATTACTAGTTTCCTCAACTATAAAATGAGATAATAATAGTATCTACCTCGTGGAGTTGTTGTGAAGATTAAGTGACATGGAAACAAAGCACTTACGACATCTGGCATAGAGTGAGTGCTCGCTCAAGATCAGCTATTCTCATCCCACCGCTAATACTACAGGCTCTCAGGAGCATCAGGGTTTGTTCAGAGAGCTACAAGCGGGACTGAAGAACGGGAGAGAATGGAAGAGACTAGACCGGAAAGCAGAAGGCCGAACTGCAAAATACTTTGTGCCTTTACAGGAGTTTGGAGTTTACTCTGAAGGCCACAGAACCGCGAGGCGACTCTCAGCAGTTAACTAAGCAGAAGGATCTGCTCGGATTTGCTTTCTGAAAGACTACCAACAGGGCCGGGTCGAAAGGCCGTGCTCGTTCCATCCCCCAGGCGGCCTCAGCAAGGAGTCTACTAAGGCCTGGGAACAGACTGCCCTCGGCGGGGGTGGGCAGCAGCAGGCACAGGACACGCTTACCACCAGTGGCGAGGAAGCCCACCTTCCCCAGGAAGAAGGTGGTGTCCACATGGCGCAGGGACTCCTCCACGTTCTGGAGGCTGGGGTGGCCAGGCCAGGGCAAGAAAACAAACCAAAGGACAAACTTACAACAGAGAAGGCGGAAGCCCCACTCCTCACCCCAGAGGCCAAAGAATGAGAAGAGGGTGACAGGAAACAGCCGGAGAGGAATGTTTTGTTCTTTCACTTTTAACTACTTTTAATTACAGAGTGGCTCAAGCCTGTAAAATAACAAATAGTAAACACGGACTGAAAAGTAAAAACTTAAAGTCTCCCTCTCCAGCACCACCCTTCTGTCTTTACTCCCCAGAGGTAACTGCTGCTGGCTTGGAGTGTTATTCTTCTAGAATTTTTTCATATGTAAATACAGACGGTGATACATATAACCTTCTAGTTGGGTTTAGTTGGGTTCTATGTACCTGTTACAGTCTTTGAAATGACCACAACAACACAATTTATTTGCCCGCAGTGGACATTGACGTGGTTTCTGGTTTTTCACCATTACAAAGAACGCTGCATGAACATTCTTTTACACACATCCTTACACAGCCAAGCAAATGTTTCTGTAGGACAGGTGCTAGTAGGGCATGAGATGGGCCACGGGACGTGTCTTTTTAGAATGTATATAGGAATTGCCAAATGCTTTCCAATAAAGCTGCAGTATTTACAATCATATCAATTGTATAAAAACAATCTTTTCCTCCGAACAAGGGCACTTTGACGGCCTAGGCCAAGGCTTTCATTCACTGGGGTCCAGAGAGTGATGAAGGAATCTGAGGTCCCCTGGCCAAAGAGCCATTTTGGTCTGGTTGCCCAAGCCAAGGTTTCAGCCTGAACAAACAAGGCCTGAGGCCAATAGCAATGATGGCTCTGTCCCCAAGTGAGGCTGCAGAGCAAGATCTCTTCAAAGGCTGGCGAGTGTCCTTTTGGTGAACAGAGAGGTCTCACTCAAAGAGCAACAGACCTGCTGAGCCAGGACCCTCCGGTGTCAGGGCAGGTCTCAGCCCCGTTGGCCCCACCACGGGTCTAAGTCACCGGTGACTGGTTCTAGCTGGTCAGGTACTGAGACTGGACTCAGTTCTGACACTAAATATTATCTGCTGCCTCTGTGTCCCTGGGTTCCGAGTGTTTCCGCCACAGACTTCCCTCAGTCCCACCACACGACTCGGTGTCTGCCTTGGTTTCTGTGCTGGACCTTAAACCCTGCCTGCCCTTCAGTCAGCTGTCCCCCAGGACAAAGAAGGTAGACATTCCTTCTGTGCTCCCGAGGCTGCTGCAGTCCTGTGCCCAGGGTTGCCAGCACCATAGGGAAGCCAGGCTAGGCCACAAACATCACCGCCACTCCCATGGCCCCTTCCATGGCCCACTAGACTGGGCTCCTGCCCTTACACAGGCCTTAACAATCCTCCACGTGCATTATGCTCCTCCTACCCTTTACAGTAACCCTCCATCTGGAACATTCTGCTCACTCCTATCTCTGCCTGGCTAACTTAACCTGGTCACCTCCACCTGAAAGTCTGCCTGACCTAAGTGTTGAGAGTCTGAGGCCTTGTTTGGGCTCTCCCAGCCCAATGCTCCCTTCTTTTACAGGACATACCCCAGGTGCTATAATTGTCTGTTCAGAAGTCTAGCCTCCTTCCCCAGTGGCCTTGAGGACACGTGCCGCTTCACCGGTCTGTGCCGGCTGTCAGGGAGCTGGAGCTGAATGGCAGATGACACTGCTGGGAGTCAGCAGTGTCTTTTAATCGTCATGCACTGGTCACTGGCTCATCCTCTAGGTTAACCCGGGCAGCCTTTCCCTGCCTCCTCTCCTTCCCATCCCAAGTGAGGTTACTGTCCCAGTACACCCCTGAGGCAGGTCTGCCTGGGCCCTGACCACTCCCATCCTCTGGCTCTCACCTGTATTTGCTGTGAAGGTTGACCACAAACATAATCAGGTCAATTCGGGGCCGACTCACATTGGAGGGCAGAGGGAGGGACTTTGCCAAGTGGCTGAAAAACAAGAAACTGCAGTACTAAAGACATATGTACCAACATCACAGTGACCATTTGCAAGCTGCCCTTTAGAGGGGGAGTTGTTAAGGGCTCCTCACCTATTCACCCATTGCTCTTGTGGGCATTGCCCTATTCACCCTATCCTCCGGGGAGCATGGGGGCAGGGCAGAGCCAGTCCTATCCAGATTAGTCCTGCCTGACTCCCTACACCAGAAGAGAGCTCTGTTTAGTAACCGCTGCGACATGGAGTTTGGGATATAAGATGGTACAAGGCTAGCCAGCTATACTGCATGCTGGCAGGGAGACCAGGCTCAGAAGAGGGGGTGTTAGACTGTGAGATTTAGGGGTTAAGACTGAACCCTTTTGCAGTGTGATAGAAGAGGGTTCATATCCCAGTTCTGCCAATTACTAGCTATGTGTGACCTTGGGCAAGTCACCCCCATCATGCTTATCTGGACTTGTTCCTGCATCAGATTCTTTAAAGTAGTGCAACAAGGTTTATTCTATCTAGTAAGGGGCATTTCCAATTCCCATGGAGGGGATACCTGGTAGATTTGGATCATTCTCCTTCAACATGGACCCCTGCAGCTTATTTTTATCAGGGAGAATGACACCCATATAGACACTTGACTCCCATCAGCAGCTGTTTCTACTCCCCATCAATTAGAAAAGGAAAACAAAATATACTTCTTTAGTCACCTTTCCTCCAAATTTGGGGGTATCTGAACATCTGCTCGGTGCCAAGTACTGCTCAAGGTAGCGGGGTTCACCAGGGGGAAGTCAAAGCCCCCGCCCTCAGGGGGCTGACCTTGGTGTCATGGGGGTGGCAGACTGGACACAAGGAAACAAACAGGTAAACAAGGAAACTTCTCAGGGCTATAAGTGCTGGAGGAAAACAGAGCAACTGTGGGGGATACCTTAGACCACGCCGACCGCGCTCTCCCAGGGAACCCCGTGCGCCCGCCTCTGGGCGGCTGCTCACTGTCCCTCACGGAGAATTTAGACCGCGGCCGGGCGATCGCACACCCCTGCCTCGGCTACTTACACCTTCAGCTCCGAGGCGCAGTCCTCCTGCAGCATCGAGTTGGCCAGCTGCTGCAGAAGACCATCGTCCGTGCCCACCAGCTGCCCAGACAGAAGGCGGACGATTGATACCTGGGCACAGCAGCCCCGCCGGAGACCGTTTACCGAGAGGACTCGGCCGGGCACGGGTTGAGGGCCCAGTCTGCACACGCTCCGGCGCTGTCCTACCTCCCCGGACCCTCCCTCAGACGGGTAGGATTCTCCCAGGAGGCCCGACCCCGGGAAGCTGGAACACCGAGTTCCCTCCCGGAGCCCAACTCAGCCGTCCCTCATCCCGCCGCCACACCAATCAGAAACCGGGAAAGAGCTCGCCGCGCATCTATTGGTGAGGACGTCCTGCAGCCTCAGAGGGAGGCTACTTCGATTGGTTCAGAATGTGGTTCTCCCGCCCACCACGCCTGTTCGGAATAGCTCGCGCGGCATCTCCGAGAGCGCGTAGGCCGCTACGCTGAGGCGCTGGCACGGAGGGGAGGAGGGGTGTGGAGCGGGGCTGCGGACGCCTACCAAGATGGTGGCCGTGTTCAGGACAGGCAGCTTGTCCAGAGGCCGCAACACCGACATCGCCGTTGCAGGCCGCACCGCAGCTGTTGCGGTGCGCGCCGGTTTTTCAAACCTCGAGGCCCGCCTTGATCGCGCCCAAGGGGCACGTGACCTCTTGGGCGGGGCTTCGTAGGACAGAGCCCTCTTAAAGGAGCCGCTACCTCCTTTTCTGGGGGAGCGTTCTGGCTCTGGCGCCAGGCACCTAAGGTGCTTCCCTTGGGACAAGCCTTTTGTTTCACGACTCGGAGAAAAAAGGTATTCAATTATTTATTCGTTCGTTTTTGTTCATTCATGCTTATTTACCATACTCTTGATTCCTTCCAAACCTACCCCTTCCACGGCTTTCCCCCCTCAGTTGACTCCATCCTTGCGGCTTCCAGGAACCTTGGTGGTGGTCTTGGCCCCTCCGCGCACTCCCCGTGCAATCCCTAAGCAAGCCTGGGGGTTCTATTCGTCAAGTGCATCCAGAAGCTGACCTCTCACCACCTGCGAGACTACACCAGGACAACACTGCATCTCCCACCGGGGCTATAGTAACGGCCTCCTGTGTTACCGGCTCCCTGCCTCCACCCTGGTCCCAGGCCTGCCGCCTCTTCACTCAGCAGTCAGTCGGTCTTTTAAAACAAGTCAAAGCAGGCCACTTCTCCGATGAAAACCCACCAGTAGTCCCGTCACTCACAGTACCCTGCGGACGCCTTACATGGCCTTGAGTCTCTGCGCCTTGTGGCCCCTGACAATCTCCCTGACCTCTGCTGTTCTTCTCCCTCTAACAGCCCACCCGACTGGGCACAGGGGACACTGGCTGTTCCTCAGATAGTCCAAGTGTCCTCCTACCTTAGGACCTTTGCCCCCGTGGTTCCCTCTGTCTGAAATGCTCTTCTCCCAATAGTTACATGGCTTGTTTCTTCACTTTATTCCTGTGTATGCTCCAATGTCACTGTACCAGAGGGGCCTTTCTTTCTTTTTTTTAATTTTTATTAAGGTATGATTGATATACACTCTTATGAAGGTTTCACATGAAAAAACAATGTGGTTACTACATTTGCCCATATTATCAAGTCCCCACCCACACCCCATACAGTCACTGTCCATCAGTGTAGTAAGATGCCACGGATTCACTATGTGCCTTCTCTGTACTACACTGTTTTCCCTGTGACCCCCACACCATGTGTACTCAGCATAATACAGAGGGGCCTTTCTTAATGACGCTATCTAAAATAGAAAGCTCCAAATACTCCTTACTTCCCTTTTCTGCTCTATTTTCTCAATAGCATTAATCTTCACTTCACTTATTGTCAAGAACTGTTCAGCCTGAGATCTTACTCTCCTACAAACTAATAAAAGAAACTGTCACTGTTCATTACTGTTTACTAATAAGCTATTACTGTCTCATGGATGCTGGCAGAAGACCTGAAACTCCTAGATTAGAGACAAAGAATTTTATTGCTTGTGGTAAAAGTAGTAGCCAGGGCTTCATGTTTGTTTATATCAATTCCCCATGTCCCCCAAACCCTGCAAAGTACCCATCATGCTCTGTACACCTCATGGATGGCAGTACGTGAGAGGAACATAGAGATTAGAGAGTCACTGCTCTTATAATGAGTAGTAGGCTTGCCTCTTCTTTGGGAGGAAATGGTACCTCATCCCTGAAGGTTGCTTGCTGCAAACATAATCCTGAGAAATGGCCTGGGTGAAGAGCTTTCAGGGCTGTACTTCCTTGCTATACCTTGCTTTCTTGGCAGCGAGAGCCTGCAGGAATGCTCAGGATCCATTGTAGATCGCCTCTTCTAGTTACTTGCTCACTGTCTGTCTCTCTAACTAGAGTTTAAGAGACATGAGGGCAGAGACTTTGTCAGTTTATAAGTCCAGCACTTCAGAAAGTGCCTGGTACATAGCAGTTGCTTCCTAAATATTTGTTGAATGAATGGGTCAACTGATATCCATTTATTCATTAGCAGTGATTCATTCATTATTTCATCATTTCCTAGGGCAGACCCAGTAGCCCACCCTGAGAACATGGATGAGCCAGACATTATTAATCTACTCAGTGTGATCAGGGAGTCAGACTGTGATCACACAGTGTGCTCACTGATGAGACATCTGGAAAAGCAGGGGCATACCACCTAGTCTAACCTAAATCCTTTCCCACTGCAGACTTCAGTGAACTGTATCTTGCTTGGAAAGAGCAGGAAGTAAATGGCTTCATTGTGCCCCTGCCCCAGCACAGTTAGGGCTTTCATTCTCCATGGCACGGGGTGTGGAGGGGACTTCCTGAAAGTCAGGGGGGGATGAGTGCTCTGGAAATAAAGTAATCCAGCTAGTGGGATAAACAGAGATGAGTGGGAAGAAGCTCCTTGAGGTCAGGGGAGGCCTCTGTCAGAGGCAATGTTTGAGCGGATGCCCAAGTTCAGTCAGGAGCCAGGTAAGCATACTGAAGAAGAGGCTGCAGGCAGAAGGAGCAGCAAGTGCTAAGACCCCAGGGGTCTGACGCTTCTGAGGAACAGTAAGGAGGCCAGTGGCTGAAGCAGATGGAATGAGGGAAGGTGGGAGGACATGAGGCTGGAGAGGTGGCTGAGGGCCTGGGGACTGAGCCTCTTAGTCGTGGAAAGATCTGGACCCTGATCAGCACTTCCTATGAGGGGCTGACCTGAGACCCATTCAGTCAATCCATGCTGAGTGCCTGCCTTGCCTTGGGCCAGGCCTGGTGCTGGGCGCCGGTGACCCGTCCCTGCTTCCAGGAGCTGTCTGTGTTGGTTGGGACAAAGGCAGCACAGCAAGCAGGAGCCCCCAGGGACCCATGGGAGCCCAGCGGAAGGGACGTGAAGGATCCCTCGGGGCTCCCACTATACTTCGGAGGGGAGGGGATTCTCGGCTGAGGTATCAGCGTGAGTTGGTCCTTGTCACATGGGCAGTAAAACAGAAAACACATGTGCAGTGAGGAAGGGCAAGGATTGGCAGGAAGGCTAGACCCAGGCCTGCATAACAACACCTGGAGCTGGCAGGGCCCCCAGAGACCCTCTGGGCCAGTGATTTTCAAATTGGCTTCTGTGAATCCCTAGGGAGATGCCTCAGGGGCACTGTGTGGGGCAGTGGGAAGCTGAATGGCAGGTCTGGAGCCTCCATCCCCCATTTAACAGAAGCAGCTCTGGTTCATATCACATATTGAGCTTCCCATAAGTTTTTGTATGAATGAAGAATCATGTGGCTAAAACAATATGTAAAAGGCCACCAATCACATTTTTTTTACAGATTTAAAGGATACAATTTGATACATTATGTACACCTAGGAAGCCACCACCACAGTCAAGATAATGAACATGTCCATTACTCCCCCGTTTCCCCACGCCCCTTTGCCCCCCTCTAGCTCCCCTCTGCCCTCCCCTCCAAACTGCTGGAAGGCACTTTGGTAGCTCTGCTCATAATGGTCCAACGCTGGAGACAACCCAGATGTCTCTGAGTGGTAAACAGATAAACAAGTTGTGGAACACTAATAAATCCATCTTCAATGAATGGCAAAAGCACTGTGCTGAGCAACAGAAGCCGGACACTCAAGAGCACGTGCTGTGTGACTCCACTTACATGGAATACAGGTACAGGCAAAACTGAGCTGTGGTGCTAGAAGTCAGAGCTGTGCCTATGGAAAGGGGCTATCGATCAGCAAGAGGCAGGAGAGAACTGTCTGGGGGACGGAAATATCCTAGACATTGATCTGAGTGGTGGTTGTGCGGGGGTATACACGGGTAAAAATTCATCACTTAAGATTTATATTTTACTATATGTACTTTATATCTCCATAAAAATCCCTCTGGGAACACAAAGTCACTCCCGCTGCTCCATAGGCTGGAGAGGACCAACCGCCTTCACAGGGACCCAGATGGCCCCAGAGCTGGCAGGGTGTCTGTGGGGCAGGGGACCCGGGGTGCTGAAGCCGTCCCATTCACAGCCTTTCCTCCCCATCCTCAGGTTCCTGGGAATGGACTCCCTGGGGAGATGGTTCCTTGGGGCCTCTTCCCCACCTTGTGGGCCTCCTGAGCTGCTCTCTCCTCCTGAGGCAGTAACCACTGTGCTGGTGGAACGCTCACCGGGCCCCCGACGCTTTGCAGACACGCTGTCTGCAGCACAGGAGGGAGCACCCTGGCCTTGTCACTGAGAAGCTGAGCAGCCTAGAAGGAGAGGTAAGTGGCACCACCCCTCCGAGGCAAAGCTGCCTCATCCCGAAGGCGCTCTCAGCACCAGCCCAGCCGGAGGATGGAAAGTAGTGACGTGTGGGGCCAGGCCTGGCATCTGGCCGTTCTCAGTGCCCGGGAGCCCAACTGTCTCAGGCCACAGCCCAGCCAGGAGGCTGTGGGGCTGGCAAGGCAGAACTGGGGCTGGCGAGCCCCTGCACGGGAGCCTGAAGGCCAGGCAAGGGCTCAGACCCAGCTTCGGGACTTTCTTGCTATGTGACCTTGGACAATGAATACATGATAATATAAATAAAGCACTGAAAGCAGTATCTGGCACATGGTAAATGCTGCACTGGACCCGTGGAGCTAGACCCTCAGTCTCAGCTGTGGTTCTCCCCTCGGTAACAGGATGCTCATTGGCTCTGCTGGTCACTGTTCTGTGTTGCCGCCCACTTGCGAGAGACCCCAGTCTCCCTACCCAAATTCTCCCAGTTATCTCAGCCAGTGCCCCCATCTCTCCAGGCCCACAGCTGTGGGGCCCAGCAGCCTGCTGGGTGGCTCCCATCCCTCCCCTATTTCCCCAAACCTGCCCTGCCTGTCATCTCTGTACCACGTGCACAGCGTGAGGGATCCAGAAGAGAAAGCTGGTTGCCAGGGCAACGGAGGATAAAGCCCTTGCTCTGTCAGGCCTCTGATTGGCTGAGACAGGTCCCACCTCCTGCCAACCTAAGGGTGAGGGGTAGAAGGAAGGGTCTCCGCTGGGCAGGGAGAGGTACCAGGCCAGTCCAGGACTGTCCCCTCCTGGCCCAGTCAGAGCCTCTGGGCCTGAGAAGCTCTGTCTCCCATGGGGGGCATTAGCCTTGCCCTTTCTCTGCCTCCAGCACCCAGGGCGGCTGCAGATGGCAGTGTCTCTGGGGACAGTAGCTGCGACTGAGTCCACAGGCTGACACTGAGCTGCTTAGGCTGAGGTGGTGTGCTCAGCACGGAGCCCCCGGAACAGGCGTCTGCAGGGTGTGAGGTGGGTCTGCCGGCACATGGGGGCACTGAGTGGTGCCGGTGGCTTGGGAGGCAGGGAGAGGGGCCCTGCAATTCTCATGCTGTCCTGGGTGGGACTTTGGCTAGAATGTGGGCTGGAAAATTCCTTATAGATCATCTGGTAACCCCCATCCCTCCTCTGTCACTGTGCATGGGGAACCCTGATGTCTGGAGACGGGGAAGACTGGCCCAGGGTCACACTGAAGGCCAGTGAGTGTTTTGCTTCAGCTAGGCCAGTCTTCTGAGAAGCCAGGAGAAGGTCTAGGGGTCCTCCATCTGTCCCAGAAGGCCTGGGGTTTTGTTCAAAGGGCTGGAGAGTTTGGTGATCCCTTAACTCTGCTCACCGGATGCACAACATTGCAACTGAAATGGTTTCTGCTCTGTCCAAATCCTTTTCTTATGTTTAAGCTGAAAGGATTCTGAGGTCCTGGCTGGGGCCAGGGCAGGGACATGAATCACTTGGCCTTAGTCAAGCTAGTTTGGAGCAGCCTCCCTGCTTGGGGGCTCCCTTCCCACCTCCCGCTGCCCGGCAGCACCCAGCAATGCTGAGCTCTCTAGAATAGCAGCTGGCTAGGAGGATGCAGCGCCAGCCTGACTTCGGGCCATTAGCACAAACAGGGCACCTTGAGACCTTGTCTGTGCTTCCAGCCAGCCAGTGGGGACCCTGGAGAGCAGAGGAGGGCTTCCAGATGGATGCAGGCCAGGGAAGCAGCATCTCTCTCCCCACTAGGGTCCCAGCCCACCTCAAATACCCACCTGCCAGTAGGGGGACAAGAGGAGCTGGAGTTTGGAGACAGAGGTCTGAGAAGCTGGGGCTGCTCTTCAGCCTGTCCTGGAGGTGTTTCCATCTATACCCTTTATTGCCCTCGAGAAGCCAAGATGGGCATCTGCTCATTTCATCTGCTCAGGTGTCCTTCTCCACCCTGGAGGACTCAAATGTCAGGACATTGCTCTGCCACTTTCTAGTTGGGTAGCCCAGGACCTGCTGATGAGCCTGTCTGGGCCTCAGTTTCTTCATTTGTGAAAGGTGGGCAGTAATACCCTTCATAGGCCTGCTGTAAGGTTATGAATGCATCCTACTGAGCTGGCAGAGGTGGCTCCTTATTACACCTCAAGAAGGGTTGAGGGTGGGTTAAGGTCCTGCTTTATCCCATTTCTGGAGGAGATAATCTGTGGTCTGGCTTTTGAAGTATGAGTAGGAGTTTGTCACATGAACACAAATGCCAAGGACATTCTAGGGAAAATGAGCGCATATACAGAGGTGGAAACTATATAATGTGCAGATACCCAGAGGTGACTGACAAGCTGTTCCATATGCTGACATGTAGGGCAGGAGGTGAGGCTAGCGCAGTTGGCCAGAGCATATAATAGCACCTTTGGGCCAATCTAAGGAGTCTGGGTGTATGAACAATGGCTAATATTCATTGAGTGCTGAAACTAACTACCATTTAGCACTTATTATGTGCCAGGCACTGGATCTAAGCATTTTAGGTAACTTAACTCATTTAACTGTCTCAACAGCCTTATGACCTAGGTACTATTTTGATTCCCATTTTAGGAATGTGGAAATCAAGGTCCAAGTTTTCTGGGCTGGTGCCTGTGTCCATATTGTTATATCATGAACCCGGCATGGGCCTGAATTCTGGAGCCTTTGTAGACCCTGTTGATACCAACCAGGTCCCTTGGGATGGGTGGTTGTTCAACATGCTTTCACCAAGCCACACCTGGCCAGGATGTGCGGGTGGCTGGGGACCCACTCATCTGTGAGGGGCCCGGCCCAGTGGCAGCCTCTGTCAGGGTCAGGAGGGGCGGCTCCCAGGCAGAGTCCCCAGGATGTCCCTGGCTGAGCGCTCTGAGGTGTCAACCACCTCACTGAATCCCCACTGGGCTCTGTTGGGGTCCCAGAGAGGTTAGGCCATGTGCCTGAGGGCACATGAGCTGGGGAGGAGCTGAGCCAGGGTGAGGCCCCTGGTGAGGGTGGCTGCGCCTGGCGGGGGAGCTGCCCAGGCACTGCGTCCACTCTCCTGGGCCTCACTCCATCCATCAGGCGAAGCTCACAGCTCTTGGCTCTGAGGCCTGTGGGTGCCGTAGGGCAGGTAGGAGTGACAAGGGCACCTCCGACTGGCCCTCACCGTGGCCCCCATGTCTCGGCAGCCAAGGCCACCGTGATGCCACACTTCCTGGACTGGTTCGTTCCTGTTTACCTGGTCATCTCGGTCCTCATCTTGGTGGGCTTTGGCGCCTGCATCTACTACTTCGAGCCCGGCCTGCAGGAGGCACACAAGTGGCGCATGCAGCGCCCCCTGGTGGACCGTGACCTCCGCAAGACACTGATGGTCCGTGACAACCTGGCCTTCGGAGGCCCAGAGGTCTGAGCTGGGGAGAGGTGGGGGGCACCGGTGCCCTCTCCTGCTTGCCCAGCCTGGAGACCCTGGGGCAGAGGGAGGTTGACCCCTAGTCCTGCAGGCTATCGTGCAGCCTGGGCCCTCCCTGCAGAGGCTCCTGGGAGCTCCAGGTAGACCCTGACTGTGGACAGATGGGCACCTGGGGGCCTTGAGGTGTCACCCAGGGCTTGCTCTGCACGTCAGGCCAGCTCATCCTGCTCCTGCCCTCCTCAGCTGTGGGGACACCCACTGGCCCCCAGCATGTTGTGCTGCCCAGCACTCCCACCCCTCCACCTGGGGTCAGGCACGGCTGCCCCTGCTTGCCTGTGGGTATCCCCAGTGACTCCCCGGTGACGCTTAGCTCCCCACTCCACCTGCAGTGGCGCCACCCTGCAGCTTCACCTGGCAGGCTTCAAAGCTGACCCAAGGAACGGGCCTCACCAGGGATGTCAGCCTGGGCTCTGGCTTGGTGAATGTGTGTGATGGGGTGGGCAGAGGAGCAGGAACGCAGGCGCAGGATGGGTGTGTGTGTGTGAGAGAGAGAGAGAGAGAGCACAGCTGGGGCACCCGGATGCATGTACGGATATGTGAGAGGGACAGTGGGGACCCAGGCAGGCTGGGAGGCAGTGGGATGCGGTGAGCTGTGTGGGCAGCACGGGGGCACCAGCAGCAGTCCCCACCCTCCTGTCTCTGCCAGACCTTCCTGTCCCTCCCCTTCCCCAGGGCTGAGGCAGCTGGCACATGCCCCTGGCCTCCCCTCCTGGTTCTGTATGGCGCCACCAGGGCTGAGCCCAGTGCCCTGAGCCAGGTGCCCCGGGCCCCCACCCCCACCCCGGAGCCCTCCTGGGTGGGGCACTGCTGCCTCATTTCTGGCACATCAGCAACCGCCCCACTCTCATCCCAGGGCTTCCATCTTAGCTTATGGCAATAATAAAGGCTTTGTGACGTCTTTGTGGGACTGCCTCTTTCCTGAAAGTGGGGTCATGCCTATCCCCTCACCGGGTCCCCATGAAGAGCATGATAGCGCTGCGGCCCCGTTTTAGGGATGGACTACTGAACTGCAGAGAGGGTAAAGCAAAGTTCTTCAGCAGCGGCGCCGCTGACGTCTCGGGAGGTGCTGCAGGAGGCTGTCCTGCACATTGTGGGGTGCTGAGAGTCTCTGGCCTCCACCCACTCAGTGCCAGGAGCACCACCATCCCAGATGGGACAACCAAAAATGTTATCTGGAATGCCTGGCCTAGAGTACCGGTTAGGACATAAATTCAGGCATGGAGATACAAAACAACAGGGCTTAAACCAAATAGAATGTTCTGCCTGTCTTGTGGTGCCATCCCTAGAGAGGCTGTCCAGAGCTGGTCTGGTGGCAGGCTCCACACAGTCGGGGACCTGAGTCCCTCCTTTCTGGCTCCTTTGCTGTGCCTGGGGTGTTACCCTGGTTAGCGAGATCCACGAGGGCTTGTCTGCAGGCAGCTGGGGGGAGGCGTGGGAGGGTGGGCCTCCAGTGCCTTTCAGATCACCCCACCCAAGGATGAGAGGGACCAGCACCACCTACTGGGTGGCCGTCCCACAATGCCTCAGTTTCTCCTGCAGTACCAGCCCCAGTGCATGCTGGGCTCTCTTCCCTGAGGGAATAAATGTCTTCCATTATGAGGCTCTGGATTTCCTGAGTTTCTTGAGTTCTAATCTAGGTGAATAGAGGTATCAGGCATGGGGATGAGAGCGGGTAGGCCGGGACTAGAGGCTCAGTGCTGCCCCCATTTATCAGAAAACTGTTTCCAGCCATGGTCAGAGGCAGGACTGGAAAGGGCTCAAGCAGAAGCCACGTGCATGAGTTAGGACTGATGCTTGCAAGGGACGTAACCCCCACACCTGGGCTAGAAGGGGAAGTTATCCTGAGGGCTTGGGCGTGCAGGTCCTGTAGGACAGGAACGTAGCAGGGGCTCAGGACAACCAGAACCAGGCCCTCAGACCGCTTAGGATTCTTTCTCTCCCCATTTTTATTCTTGCTTTTGTGCACCCACTTCATTAGCCACCACCTCACTCCACCTCACCCCTATCATGGAAAATGCAGCACCAACTGCTGGCAAGTTTTATATCTTACAGCTCCAGCCACTGGAGACAGAGTTACCTGTGTCTCTCTCTGGCCTTACGGGCAAATGTCTCAGGGGAGGGATTCATTGGCTCAGCCTAGGTCAGGTACCCTAGGTCAGGTGGTCAGGCCAGCCAATCACTCAAGGCCACAGCAGGGTCCTGTGTTTAGCCCAGCCTGGGTCAGGGCCCGCCTGAACCAATATGACCTGAGCTCAGGTCATCTCAGAATACAGCAGCTCTCTTGGGATGCTGTCAGAGGGCAGAGTTCAGAAGAAATGATGTGAGCAGCTCCCCAACACTCAGCCCAAATGCACTAAACAGACCCTGCCAGAGGTGATTGGACTTAACAAGCTTAACCCGGAAGGGCCTCAGGCTAGATCTGGTCTGCAGCCGAGCTTGGTTTGTCCAACATAGCGTTCTGAAAACATGCAAATTAATTGGCAACATTTATAAATCAGGAGATTTCACAGGAAATCTTTTTCTGACTCTTTAAAAATAAAATTTCTGGCCACACTGTGTCTGAAGTGTGAATGTATTCAAGGTTATAAGCTTCGTAGTCTCAGCAGGAAGGATGTTGAGCGTGACACTGCTCAGGGCCGCGAGCTGCCTCTGTCCAAGGGTTGCCGCAGGGTCTCCCTCCCTGGGCTGTGAAGGAGGAGCCTAAGGCTCAGAGAGGGTAAGAGCTTTGTCCAAGTCTTCTCCCCAAGGCTTATTATGTAAATGTTTACACCTGTTCTTCATATAAAGGACACAAGGAAGTTTCAGTTAAAGAAGCTGCATATACAGGGATGAGAAGGAAATATTCTGACTCCTACTGTAATACTATTACTTGTCTCTGAGCTTCCTGGCAGCCAGAGGGAAAGAGGAAACACAACTAAGTAATTTTATTTTGTTATATGATAGAAGGGAGAGATTGGATCTTCATGAAAGACAAATTTTCTGGTTCTAAATGTTAAAAAGAAATGTCTCAAATGGGATGTTAAGAGCAACACAACAGACTGCATCCTTAGCATTTTTTACAAAGGGGAGGGTTGACATCGACGGCAGAGCCTACAGAAACAGGCCAGTGTCCATGAAGACTTTTTCCATTGGCAGGGCATGCCAGAGAACTGCAACTTGGAGTCAAGGCCTGATAATAGTAAATCCTATAAAACTGTTCATTTAAATTATATGTCCTTGGGCAAGTTTCCTTAGCTCTCAGATGCACAGCTGTATTCACCAAGCATTTCTCTGTGTCACAAACTGAGAATCACAGGTGATTAAGCCCAAATAAATGCCCACTGCCCAGTGTCTGGCATTGTGCTTAGTTCATGTCATGTTCTCCATAGAAAGCTGGTTGTTTTCAGATCACTCCTGTCCTGCCTCTCTCACTGGATGCTGGCAAACATCAAGGGAGATAGCTGGGAGGAAAACATGGTATAAATGCTGTGCTTCATACAGCTATCCTCCTGAAGCCTACAGAGGTGTGGCACGTATTGCTCTATCCCTGCACCAGGTCTGGCACCAAGAAGGCAAAGGTGAAGGAAGATAGAGTCCCTGAATCAAAAGAGCTCATGAAGTGCAGGGACAGGCAGAAGTGTAAACAGTTTACAAAACTGTCATTGCAGCAAGAGAATTATGTGTGAAGAACTGAAAACAGAGACGAAGTGGTACTGAATCTTGGGGAAGGCCTTTGAAAGGAAAGCTTACTGGAGGCTGTAAATACTGAGCTGGGTTTTGAAGCCTGAGTAACAGTTTTCCCTGTAAGGGGAAGAGGAGCCAACAAGGGCAAAGCCACAGAGGCTAGAGAGAACCCAGTCCTGGGGGAGAACTGTGAGGGCTGTCATGTGACTGAAGCACAAAATGCCGGGAATAAGTGGTGGGAGGGGAGACTAACCAACCAGAAGGTGGTTTTTCAAACAAAGCTAGGTCTAGGGAGAAAGCCTGAGGAGCTTCTAGTTGTCACCTCCACCAGGAAGCCTTCCCAGATCCCACCAGCAGCTTTCCCCATGACAACCCTAATCTTGTGTTGTGATTTTATTCACGTGCCTGTGGAGAGCAGCAATGGCATTTTCTCATCTCTGCCCACAGCCTGCCTGGCACTGGGCAGGGCCTCCAGAAAAGACACTTGCTGGATGAATCGAGACAGTCTCTTCAGAAGTCTTGCCAGGGGCTACCCATCTGTTTAGAGACTAAGATTTTAGAGAGGCTTAGAGGCTTCCTGGGGCTGTGCTGCGTGCAGGTTTTGCACATCCTACAATGCTCTGGGAGGTTTTGCAGAGCCCTGGGAGCTTTCATTCCCACCATCTGGGAGCTATCGAGGTGGTGGGTGTGCCTGGGCCAGGCCCAGAGCCGCACAGGAGGCGGGAATGTGCAGGGTCCTGTAGAGGAATGGCTGCAATGTTCGGCCTCTGGCCCTGGAGGGTGGCACAGGCTTCTCATTGTTCCACCCCCTCGGCTCTCAACACCTGTTTACCTGGTCATCTCGGTCCTCATCTTGGTGGGCTTTGGCGCCTGCATCTACTACTTCGAGCCCGGCCTGCAGGAGGCACACAAGTGGCGCATGCAGCGCCCCCTGGTGGACCGTGACCTCCGCAAGACACTGATGGTCCGTGACAACCTGGCCTTCGGAGGCCCAGAGGTCTGAGCTGGGGAGAGGTGGGGGGCACCGGTGCCCTCTCCTGCTTGCCCAGCCTGGAGACCCTGGGGCAGAGGGAGGTTGACCCCTAGTCCTGCAGGCTATCGTGCAGCCTGGGCCCTCCCTGCAGAGGCTCCTGGGAGCTCCAGGTAGACCCTGACTGTGGACAGATGGGCACCTGGGGGCCTTGAGGTGTCACCCAGGGCTTGCTCTGCACGTCAGGCCAGCTCATCCTGCTCCTGCCCTCCTCAGCTGTGGGGACACCCACTGGCCCCCAGCATGTTGTGCTGCCCAGCACTCCCACCCCTCCACCTGGGGTCAGGCACGGCTGCCCCTGCTTGCCTGTGGGTATCCCCAGTGACTCCCCGGTGACGCTTAGCTCCCCACTCCACCTGCAGTGGCGCCACCCTGCAGCTTCACCTGGCAGGCTTCAAAGCTGACCCAAGGAACGGGCCTCACCAGGGATGTCAGCCTGGGCTCTGGCTTGGTGAATGTGTGTGATGGGGTGGGCAGAGGAGCAGGAACGCAGGCGCAGGATGGGTGTGTGTGTGTGAGAGAGAGAGAGAGAGAGCACAGCTGGGGCACCCGGATGCATGTACGGATATGTGAGAGGGACAGTGGGGACCCAGGCAGGCTGGGAGGCAGTGGGATGCGGTGAGCTGTGTGGGCAGCACGGGGGCACCAGCAGCAGTCCCCACCCTCCTGTCTCTGCCAGACCTTCCTGTCCCTCCCCTTCCCCAGGGCTGAGGCAGCTGGCACATGCCCCTGGCCTCCCCTCCTGGTTCTGTATGGCGCCACCAGGGCTGAGCCCAGTGCCCTGAGCCAGGTGCCCCGGGCCCCCACCCCCACCCCGGAGCCCTCCTGGGTGGGGCACTGCTGCCTCATTTCTGGCACATCAGCAACCGCCCCACTCTCATCCCAGGGCTTCCATCTTAGCTTATGGCAATAATAAAGGCTTTGTGACGTCTTTGTGGGACTGCCTCTTTCCTGAAAGTGGGGTCATGCCTATCCCCTCACCGGGTCCCCATGAAGAGCATGATAGCGCTGCGGCCCCGTTTTAGGGATGGACTACTGAACTGCAGAGAGGGTAAAGCAAAGTTCTTCAGCAGCGGCGCCGCTGACGTCTCGGGAGGTGCTGCAGGAGGCTGTCCTGCACATTGTGGGGTGCTGAGAGTCTCTGGCCTCCACCCACTCAGTGCCAGGAGCACCACCATCCCAGATGGGACAACCAAAAA